TAAGTGCCATTTCGATTGATGTTCTAAGTCATTTTTAAGTGCACACAACTTTCGTTTATTTCTGATAAAAATTTGGTTTTAAGTATCATATAGTGAAAATAAAAAGCTTTCTGTTTTACAAGAAATCCCTTACTGCGGGATTTAGGATAAACATATTGGATTTTTTTATTTATAAAACTGCACAAATCCTTTAAAACCTTTTTTGTACGCCCGCTGAATAAAAACCCCGGGGTTTTTAATAAAAGCTTTATCTAATTTTATTTCTTCTTTTCCAGGTAAGTCCGACTACCAATAAGGGAAATTCTGACGTAAGCCGGTTTAAGGTTGTATTACTAATTTATATTCAACAAACACAAACTTATTTGGTGGATGTCAAACCACATTTGATATTTTGTAAGGCAAAGTTTGTATTCTAAAGTGCCCAATTGCAAATTCATATTTAAATAGTTTTAGTTTTAGTTGTAAGCATTAGTTTCGATTGTATAATTGTAATTAAAATGGCTTTACCAATTCCGTATCTTGTTAGTGGAATATTAGAGAACCAAAATTTACATATTCATGCAACTAATAGTATTAAGGTAAAAGTTACTAACTAAATTTGCTTAGGTTCAAATATTTAACCAAAACATTCAGTCCAAATTTAAGATTATACGTTCTGAATGGACCAAATCGATATTCAATAGGAGTTTATCCGAATCCTCGAAGGAAGAAATTAAATATTAATATCCCAGGCGTTGACAGAAAAAGGAAATTGCCTTTTCTCTTGAACAGAGCCGGATTTGACCCATAGCCCCGGGGCCTTTACCAGTTAATGGAAGTTCTTTTTTATTACTTTTTTAAAATGCTAGATGTAATTATCGATTATAGTAATAAACTGGAGATCTTTTATAAAACGTATCCACAATTATAAAAAAAGCACAAAGTAGTATTTACAAATCAAATTATTTTCAGGGTGCAATTTAAAAAACGCACAAAGCTTTATTGGTTTTAAAATACATTCGGTACTCTAAAACGCCTTATAATTTTAAGTCCATTAATAAGTTTTGAAGAGTCAGAAACAGTGATGGTTTAAGTTTTGGGCTATACAGTCAATTTTTTAGTATATTTAAATTAATTTGGGCATTTAGTATCTACAGCCAATCTGTCGAAAAAAATAGCAGTTTTCGAAAAAAAATTACCATGGTGAATTATTGCATTAATCATTTGGGCCTCATAAGAAAATCTTTTCCCCAACTATGTGGTATCCTACCCCTGGGGATTTGTCTGAAAATAATTTGTTTTCGAAAACAATATTGTAAACAAAATATGTAGGGACTCTATTGTTAAAACCAATACAAATTATATTTTGCTACGCGCGTTAGAAATAAATCTTTTCATGAATAATATTGAGAAAGTTGTTACTTTTAGTAAAATATACAAATACATATTTTAATATTTAAATAATATAGTATTTACTATTACATTTCTGGAATATGATCGAGTATATAATCGAAACTTTATTTCCTAGAAAATTGCGTAAATTAATATTACATTGGGAAAGATTTTCTTTTCTGTGTGAAGTTATATTCTTATATATAAAAATGTTCAAAGCAAGTAAATTTTGAAAATTTTGGTTTTTAAAATTTATACTCCCCTTTCTTGCATCTAAAGGTGACCGTCATATTGGATTTATTTATTCCCATCTCTCTTACTTATTCACAACCACTTAAATAAATGACGTCACCTCCATAACTTCATGCTCTCCAGATCCTTAAAACCGTTTAAAAACAACCATTTTTGTATGTTTATTTTTTGTTGCAAAACACGCACACATCGACGTGACTTACCTCTGCTACTTCATACTCTCCTGATAGGGGCGTTTAAAAGCATTTTATATATATATTTTTTTCAAATAGAATTCATCAAATTTTTGCCTTATTTTCTCTGATTTACTAAATAAAAATTATAAATCCGACTCTGCTCTTCGTCTAAATTGAATAGTTTAAAAAAGTGTTCGTGGACCTGAGTAGGGTTTCTTAATACACTGTCGAAAATATAATTTCAAAAGTGTCGTTTTGTATCCCACATTGATAATAGCGCTATCGCTTATTTGCTTGTCAGATTTTATATTGGGTTATATAAACCCTGCGTTTGTGTTTCTGAAACCTGAATGTAATTGACGTTTGGATAGCACGCCTGTCTTAAAATTGAATAAAATTGACGAATAGGAAACAAGAGGTAGAGGTAATGGAATTTAATGAGAGGAGAATAAATTTTATTATTTCAAGCGGAGTAATTGAATTTTGTATGAGATACAAATTATTTGATTTGTTAAGGATATTTCTTTTTTAATGTTGAACTAAGTCTTAACATAATTAAATAATATATACGAGGAAAAAATTCATTGTGAAAAATGAAGGTTTGGTGACACATACATTACAAAATCTGTTTTTATTTTGCACACGTTCTTGGACTCATCAAGGCGTAGGATTCGATGTGAAAGCTACTGAAATCTAAAATCTGCGTTTTAAATTTGACATTTTTTATTATTAAAGTAAAGGCTTTGTTATCTATGATAAGAACGTTTTTACGTGCAAGTGCAATTTGACTTAAAAAATCATCTCGAATAAAAATAAAAATAACTCGTTTTACTTTACGTGATTACTTTTCACAGCCTTCGATGTAACAATAGTTACTTTGTATCGATGAACTTAATTTTGTATATGACAATGAAATACCATTCCAATAATGGGACTCCCTAGACAGATGATTATTTTCAGGAGCTTGTACTATGCTCACAAGGCCACCGCGCATTATTGCAACGCTTGCACCAGGAGTAGAAGATGCGCACGACTCAATTTGTAGTTCACGGTTCGCGGTACTCCTCATGTATTTATAGAGTTGAAGCTCCTAAAAATATTCTTCTTAATTACCCAAGACACTGTATAACGGTGGTTTTAAAAATTCAATCGTGGCTGTGTTGTTCCAGAAAACATTGAACTGATATTGCAGGATCCTCATGTGACATAGCGAGATAGTCCTTGGGCATTCACTGTTACCTATTTAATCGTTTAAATAATAACAATCATATTGTTTTTTTATTGGAAATTGTTAATTAGTTATATAATACACATTTATAAAGAAAAAAATCAAATTATCACCTATAAAAAAATAAATCTACCGAGGAAAAAACAAAAATTTCGTTTTGACTTCAACTTTAACCTTGAATAACTTTTGATTGAGTAAATTTAGCCAAAAATGTTAAGAGGCTTTTTTTGTAAAGCATTTGATTTCCCATAATTTTTTTCTGGGTACTGATTTTTACATGAATTACAAAATTCCAAAGTTAAAAGATCAAAATGTAAAACTATACCAATTTTTAAGGCATGATTTTAAGGAAACGGTTCATCTGACGGAAAATTTAATTTTAACCTTTTTTTTAGAGCATTTATATTAATTTTCTTAAAAAATATCAATTTTGTTAAACTCAATAGTTTGGGAGTTCTGAGACAAAAACTTGCTGAGGTAAAAAAATTTAAAATCGCGATGATAGACCTCTTAATATTAATATTATGGACTCAAACTTTCACAATAATTTTTTTTGTAACCCCAAACCATATTTTCGATATACTTAAAAAATTTTTCGGTTGATTTTTTTGGCCCAACACATATGCATATACATATATGTATGTACATATACGTGCTAAGGTAAAAGGTCCTAGCTACAGGTAAAAGGTCCTAGCTACAAAATTTTGTAATAAAGGACAAAAGATCATTTTTATTATTATAACAATAAAAATGATCTTTTGTCCTTTATTACAAAATTTTGTAGATAGGACCTTTCATCTTAGCACGGCAGTATTTATTTTTATAACAATAAAAATGATCTTTTGTCCTTTATTACAAAATTTTGTAGATAGGACCTTTCATTTTAGCACGGCAGTATACTATAACGTATACTACATATGTATATGAAAGAATACGTATACTTATATGAAAGAATATTTTTAAAAACAATAAAACATTTTTGCAAATAAAATTTGTTTTTTGTTTTTTATTATTAAAATATAAATATGCGAAGAGTTTTTATTACCAAAAAATGGGATATTTTAACAACCACGACTCGCAATAAATTCGAGCCGCATAAGGGTGATAGTTATGGAGTTGATTTGTTTTTAATCAAAGCAGAGTGCCAAAGGTGCACGCAATCAATACTGCATCGATGCGGGAGCCATTTTCTACGGTTTATTGGTATTTTAAAATTGCACTAGAGCGCTAATTCGCCGCGAATTCCGATGAAATTAATCAGCAAAGCCTACGGCGTTAATATAATGGAAGTCCTGTGCAAATGGATTGGTGGGTGGTTTCAAACCAACTTATGCATAACTTGATGTAATTAGGGTTTAAAATAATATATTTAATTACATGTTTTCTAGAGCATTTTATGGCAGTTAATTGCAGGATTAAAATGAGTTTAATAATGTTAAACAATTCGAACAAATATTTATAAATAATGAGTTTTATATCATCATAACGACACTTGATTGTTTGTTTTAATTTTAATTAATCCACTTTGCAGATGTTGTGTAACTTTTAATAATGTGGCTGGCACATGTATGTACGCAGCTCATTGATGAGAGAAACCATTTTGTTTGAATTAATTTGACAGCATTTTTAATTGGTCGCCTCAAAAAATGGATATAATGGCCAGCGACACCACCGATGATGTTGTTTATTTACGATCCGCTTTCACATGGAGTGTAATTAATAAGGACTTTTTAATTAACATGTATAAATATGTGGGAAAAATAACCCTGCTCCTTCTTTCTTGTTTTTAGTTAGCGAAACATGATTTTTTTGTTAATAAAAAACAACCACTGCTTTGTTAGAAAGAACAGATACAAAATGCAGTAATTTGCCATTGTCTGTATGTGTATAGCTGCATTTTAAAAATAAAACCCTTGTAATTGTTTTCTGCAAACTAATTATTTTCTTATCTAGCAAAGGCACACAAAAACTTTTCAAACTATTCGTATTTGGTAGTCGCCATTCTGCGTCGTATACCTAACCCAAGTCAAAGACTTAGTGTCGTTCTTCTCGATAATCTTGATGTACCTTATATGCAACTTGGACACGGTAAAGTACGGAATTGAAAATTTAATCTGTATGGGAATTTTCCTTTCCTCTTCATCGGAAACAAAACTGGAAAGCCTGAAAGCCGCTTTCAGATAATACTCCAGCCCTCCGGCCATCGATTTAATCAGCCACAATATGGCATTATTTTCCGGCCGATAGGACGCTGCACCAATCGAACACGACAAACTGGGAGAATCGACGTCGTTAGACACGGGAATTTGCACTTCGACGTTATGAGCTATCGCGCATTTTTTAAACTGCGACTTCAGCAGTATCGTGTACTCCACCCTGCTGTGTGCGTGATGTTCCACGTGAGAGTTGAGCAGAAAAATCGGACTTATTTCAGGATTTAACCTGTAAGACATCAACTCGAAATCGCCGTCCGGTGGTATGAAATAGATTGTCTTGTCGTTGTTAAATCTGGATAGCTGCACGCAGTGGTGGAATTTAACGTCCTCCAGGGATCCATAGTGGGAATTATCCAGGATTAATTTGTCGCTGAATCCCAATCGTAGTTGAGGCATTCCGCTCAAATGAACCTTCATTTGTACCACACCATTTACTTCCGCTTTGACCAGACTGCCGTTTGCATTCATAAGAACATTAATTGATTCTATGACGTCAAGAAACACCTCGTTTCTTTTGTACTTTAGGCCCTCTGGCCTCCAGGATACGCAATTTGTTACCACCGGGGGGATAGTTATCTTTTTCTTTAGCTTATAACCTTTTTGGGTAATGTATTCTTGAAGGATTTTTGAGTCGGTTATTTGTGGGTAACCGTAGTCCACAACTTCATCTAAAAGCTCGTGAATAATCACAAAGTTATCTTGAATGCTTTCTTCTTCTAATTCCTTGAAATACTCAACCATTGTATTTAAAAACTTTCGTAAAAACGCAAATATCAATGCTATATTGGCATTTTTTCTTATAATACATACTATAAAAAGATCGTTTTTCTTAATGTAAGCAAATGAAGCCTCAGTAGATGATAACACGGGTCGGTGTAGATTTTGGTCTTCGGATTCATTAAGCAACTTTACGAAATACTCTATATAATCTTTGGAGTCGCCTCTGTAATCCCTGGATATGAGGATCTTGCCTTTATTATCCAGAATATAAATACTTGACAAGGACATAATAATAACCTGACGTTTAAATCACATGTAACGCCCTATATCATCTTAAGTAATTTCATCTTGTCTTATAAGATCATTTATAACGATTTAATGCTGAAAACTTTTGCAATAGCGAAACAAATGTAGTGACTGTAGCCATGTTAACATGTTATTGTTATGTATGAAGTTACTTCTTGCTGCCTCGGCAGAGTTTTAAACTTTTCGTGTCCTCTATACTTACATAATGCAAAGTAAATAAGTATTTAGAATTCATGAATAATATAAGCGGCGCTATAACTTCCAAGCCCGCTTTCAGTTTACACGTTTTGCTTATTTGCATTTCGTATTTGAAGTCCAGATTAAACCTAACATTTAAGGTAACCGAAGGAGTTTCTGAAACGTTTAGCATCTGGGGCTGATTAAAGTTTAATTAAATCTTTATCAGATTCTTCGAATTCAAACTTTTCTGCGTTTAATTGATCTTGGATACATTAATTATTTAATGTCAGCCTGATCAAATTAATTCACCAGTGTCGAGTTTGTCTAGGCCTCAGTATAACAAGCAGCACTTTGAACCCTCTTTATTTTAAAAGACAAGTTGCATTTTACATTTCTAAATGGTGCCTTTTAAAGTTTGGGGTGTACAGTTTAAATAAATGGTGGTAATAATTATCTTATTAAATTAAATCTGATTTTTTTAGTACCCACGATTTTTTAACATATTTAAGTTTCCTTTGGTTTAAGTTTTATACATTATTTCATTCGGTGATAATTATCAAATACTAACTGAGATATTTCAAAGTTTCAAGTTAAATGACTCACCCTGTAGACAAGTGATAGGTAAGGTTGTGTGGGTAAGGGGTTTTTAGTTACTTCGCAACTAGTGTCGAACTTGACGAGGGTTCAATACTTAATGATTCATTCACACCTAATTGACAAGTAGCAGCGCTTGAAACGCGCTTTGTATGACAAAGTAAAATTTCCTCGAACCCTTGTAGCAATCATAAAACCCAAAACTAAAGAAACGTAACATAATAGTGTGTACTTGTGCTCTTAATTACAGTAATTCTTCCGACTCCGTCCTTCCTAATGACTTCAACCATTTGAAACTTCTTTCATGTAGGCAACTTTTTCGCAATATTTTACTGGTAAATTTTAGCTCAAAACGAAATTATTTTTAATGGCTTCGTAATCATTAGCATCCCTTTTCTCCGTGTGTGGTGTCATTTAGCGTTTCTTTGTTAAAATGTTAATTCCTCTCTGCACGGCTTTCCGCCGGATATGAAGTATCACGTGACTTAATTTAAACCTATTCCGAAGTAGAATTTTGCACAGTTGGTATTTAGTTTAAAATAGACGCCTGGATTATTGTTGATTACTTTGCTTTGTTACGGTGCGCCAGTGTAATGGAATATCTTGTTCTAAATTGGGAGAATCTAGGTGTGGTTCTGGAATGAAATATATTTGACAACAGCGCATGTCTTGCAGGCTCGCAATAATTAACACGTTAAAATGATCGTGTCTAAAATAAATTGCCAACAATCTTCTCCTTTTTGCTTTTACGGAATTATTTCTTCAAGTATAAAGTCATTGCCCCTGGCTATAGATATTCGCACTATTACATTTCCAACTTTAAAATAGTTTTGTATTAAGTCTAAATTGCTTTAAGCTTTGGTTGTGAGGCAATATCTTATCCAAGTACTTAGAAAAACGGAACTTTACTTCTAAAACGATGATAAATGAATCAAACGGATGTAACAAAAGAAAAATATCGAATATCGAGCACCTCAATTGAGATACATCGTGCGTTGAGAGATAATATCGTGTGACAAAAGGGATGATTAATGGTTTGGAAGACAGAAAAATGTATAGATAGATAATGGTAGAGTTAGGAAACTCTTTTTGGTGGAAAAATTACAATTGTTTTTGTGGCTTTGTCATCCACACTTCTTCTATAAAGCGTTCTATTTTTAAAATTAAAATCTAAATCCATTTCATCCGTTTCAATTAATGGAAAAATCTTAGTCTGCATAATGTCTCTTTATTTCGGTATGGATTTAGTTTAAGATCTACTTACTTGAAAATAAATCCTTTCTCGATGAAATGATTATAAATGATTTGGGGCTGTTAAAAAGATATATTGCCTGTCTCACTTGAGTTAAACCTGTAGAAAAATGATGATGAAAAAAATGGATGATAAATGAGTGGAAAATTGGGTAAATGTATTTTTTTGCAAAACTTAATGTGTATATAAAATTAGTATTATGATTATTAACCTAAAGGATTTCGTAATTTTCGTTTAAAGCAATTTTTCTAAGGAAATTACGCGATATAATAAATTCCCTTATAAATATGTAATCTCATCGTTTTTATGCTGATTTTCTTTATCGCATGCTGCATGAAAATCCGATTCTGTGTTTATTCAAAATGCTCTACTGTGGGGTAGTTTGCATGCAACAACATAAAAAGAATGGAAGTGCATCTGTTTTTAAAATAAAGTTGTATTGCCATTTTCAATTTGGCGAAATAAAACGTTATGTTTGCAGAGCTCATGGGTTGCAACTTTAATGTTCCAATATATTTCAATTCAAAATAATGTTATAACATTGTTTCGGCGAAATTTAAAACGATATTTGTTTCATAAATAATGTTTAGCTTCCCCAAGTTATGTTGTTATTGCTGATTCAATAAACAACACATTTTAATAATGCAGTTCTCCACAGAATTCGGCTTTTAACTCCTCAATTGGACTGTAGCCAAATGTTCGTTAGGTTATTTCCAATAAGATTGGAACGTATTTTATTTAAAAGGAAGTAAATATTTTAAAGTCAGACCAATTGTATAGGGTATTTATTTATTTTTCAAAAACGGTTGATATTACTTGGCTTTTATTTATAGAATGTTCTGCTTTTGTTGGTTTATGTCTTAAAATATTTGGAAGAGACCACCTATATTTTTTTTAAATAAGTTTGTAAGAAATTTCAATAGTTAAAAATTATAATTATTATATTAAAAATTTATTCACAATAATTTATAAAACATTTCTCATTTAAAATCATTCAGGAAAAAAGTAATGAAAATTATGTTAAAATGTACAGGGAATACGAAATTAAAATGTATTTGCTATTTTATCCAATCTAAAATTCCTCGAAACAAATGCGATTTTGACTTAATAATATTTTAATATAAATCCCTTTTTTGTTTGTTTAATTATACCTAATATTATTTATTTGCTGAGAAAAAACACTATAATAAATAAAAGTTAAATTTTACCGTCTCCATGGGGACAATAAAGGTGTTTCCACGCCTAGCCTTGCAAAACACCCACAAAGCAGGATTTTTTTTTACTTTTTCGAATGGAGAGCGCTGCAATAATATGTTAGATTATAGTTAAATTAAGAAGATTTTACGATTTTGTTTGGTTTATTTAACTGTGTGTAGGTGTCGCTGCAGGCTGTCCGTTTTGTTATTGTTTAATGTTGACTGAAATATCCACCGCATATCTACAGTTTGCTTAACTTTAATTTATATAAAAAACCAACAATATCTTAGGTCTTTATGTTTGTCCTATTGTATATTAGTCCTTCGGAGGGGACTAAGCCCGCGGTCCCCCTATCCCCTAACCCTCACAAGCCATTCAGTTGGCTTCTGAGACTTCTTAGAAATTAAGGGTGGAACTAAAAGAGCACTTTTGTATATCGACACTTACAGCGTGGCATTTACACAGACAATTATTGTAAAATTATTTCATGTCATCTGTAGGAAGAAAAATAACCACAGCGATAAAGTAATTTTTCCAGGCTTTAAGAAGGGTCCAGGCTCTCTAAATATCTCCCGTACATTTTTTTAAGCCCATAGAAATAAATATTCAGCCTGGAAAAATGTCACTTTAACGCCTAGGTCTACAATATACTATTGTTCTAATTCTACTCCGAACAACTGTCAAGATACTGTCAAATAAGGCAATTAAACGAATTAACTAGCATAAAGCTACAATGGTTTTATATTATAGTCGAGTAGCACAATATGTGGTATGATTGGTAGTGAATAATAGTATATTATTATACGAGAGATAATGCAGGCTATTATTCACAAGGATGATGTTTGAATCTCAAGCCGTCAGGCTCATCCGAGCTTTTTCAACTCCAATTAAGTAAGCATTGATAAAAAAATTTATTATAACCTGACTCTTTACCGATTTTAAAGATCATTATAGTCGACCCTCGTATATATAAAATCTGACATCTGTTAACCTTACTTTTTTCCAATTGAAAACCCGAAATAATAGTGAATATTGAAATCAGCCAATCATTGATGCCTAACAACGTGAATAATGAGTTCAATATTCCCGTTGTTAGGCCGGACTGTTATATTGGTTACCATTATTTACGAAAAAAACTCAAATAATTTCAATAATAGGAGGATAAAAACATATTTTTAATGGTGGTAATAATAAATTATAATTAATACGTACGAATAATGATACTGCTTACCGCTACCATTGCGTATATTATATAATTTATAACTAATGTACCTACGGGTAATTAATTTCTAGTCAATTTAAAATTAGATTAAATTGCAAAATTTACAACGCACAATTAAAGTAATGTAATGAAATGACTAGTTACTACAGTTGTTAGTGGCTGCTTTTTCACTTATACCATGGTTAACCATGGGATACCATGGTATCCCCAACATTTATTATCCAATGCTTATGTAAAATTGTCCCCTGAATAAGAGAATACCGTCAAAAATTATGAAATAGAGCAGTTTTTAAATATAGTCAATTCCATATTATATGGAAAATTGACTATATCTCAAAAACTGTTCTACTTTCATAACTTTTGACGACATTTTTGGATTCAGGGGACAATTTTACATGGAAATTGACTGCTAAATGTTCGGGATACAAATTGCTATTGACGACAATTATTAGTGGCTGCTTTTTCTCTATGACAATTAGTCATTTTTGACTAATTTATTTTTAGAGAGTGCAGGATTTTTAAATTATGATTTTTTTTAGCACATGGTGCAGACGGGCATGACGACGCCCTTCGGCGCCGCAACGCCAGCCGGTTTTCCGCAACAAAACGGCGAGGTTAAACCGGAGGAGAATAAACCGGCGGTGCCGCTGCTCCCGCCTCCAGCAGGTGCGGCAACGGCGGGCGCTGGGCCACCTTTTAGTCCGCCGCCGCCTCAGCCGCCAGCTCAGGCCGAGCCTACCAACAACGGACTCGTCGGCAGTCCAGCATTAGCACACACGGTAAGATACCATTTTTTAGTATTGCTGGAATCCAAAACCTTTGAAAAATTTAGAAGTAGTAAATTTGTAAGTTTAAGCATCGCTACTAGCGCCACCAGTGGCCGTTATCATCGTAACAAAACTACAACTTTTAATAATCAGCTGTCAAACGCGTATGTTACAAACAAACAGGTGTTTTTGATAATAAGTCCGTAAAATGTTAAAAATATCGAGAGAACGATTTCTTGTTGGCTGAGTTTTTACCGGTTTCCCCATAAACAGTGGAAATCCGAATAATAAATAATAAATTGCATACAATCCCTGTAAATATAAATTGTTCCTATTAGATACAATAAAAGCACATTTTAGGAGTAATTTACGTGAAAATTGTAAACATTTCAATTCAGTAAAAATCATAAAACAAATAAGTCGTCTAAATTCAAACAGCGTTATGCATTAAAAGATTTGATTGAGAAAGTATCCACTCGTTAAAAAATACCATAACGGTTATTATATTATGTTTTATATATAACATTATGTTGCTATGAATATGTAGATATATTTTGCCATTTACTATTTTAAAATTGTCGGCTTTTTTTTGGAGGACTCCAATAAAAAAAATTGATTTTAAGGTTATGTTTGAACAACTATTATTTTTTGTTAGATTTTTTAATAATGTCTAAACTTAAATATAAATTATACAGGGTGTTATGTAATTAATGTTATATATTAAAATGGGTTGTTCCTTAGGGTCCATAAAGAAGCACCTGAAACTTTTTTTTCTAAATTCCAAAGTCTAAAAATAATTTATAATAACCTTTATCCTACCAAAAAGTACGCCACTGATCGACTAGGAACTTTAGGTTAATCTGGTGGATTTATTATGTTATGGTTGGTAACAACAGTGTTTCCAAAATCTCTCAAAAGAGTTGACAAACATTGTTTAAATTTAGCTTAATTACAAAAATGACAAAATTAACAATGCAAATTGTCAATTTGGCGTTTTTATTAATTGTTGGTTGTTTCATTTTTGTACTGAAGGTAAATTCAAACAAAATCTGCCAACTTTTATGACAGAATCTAGTGCATTTCTTTTAAATTTTAGGTTATGTTTTCAAATTGTAAATATCTTAACTAAGGGAAGTGCTTTGGGATTTATTTACACAAATTAAATGCTTAAAGTTTAACCTGTGAACTGGTCCCAATTTTATCTGAGTAAACAGAGAAAAAAACTGATGAAATAATTAATTTTGTGGTTTCAAATTTCAAAGGTACTAAATTTTCTAATCATTGCTTAAGCTAATAGCTGGATCAGTAAATAAATACAGAAGGGTATTAGAGCTTTAAGGGCATAAAACTTTTGTATATATTGAGTTTTTATTTATTTTTTGCAAGAAAAATTTTTAGTAACAATTTTTTACATCTGGCAACGCATAGCTACTTTGTTGGTTGATATCTATGTACTCACAAAATACAGGTGTGCAGAGATAAACAAGTGTGTAACCAGTGGCGTATCACAAAAAATATAAAAAACTTCTAATGCATATTTTTTCTTTATCTTTGGAAAAATGTTTTTTAAAATATTTTTCCTTTATTCCTTATGTCAAAAGGTATTCAGTATTTTAATATATAACATTAATTACATAACACCCTGTATTAGGTAAAGTTATCATTTGTTGTCATAAAAATTGAAATCAAATACTAAACCAAAGTTTTGCCGTTTTTACTTGCAACGCGAAACACAAATAACGTGAGAGATTTAGCTGTGCAATTGAATCTTTGCGAATAAGATTTGTCCAGTAAGACTTCTGCCTTCTCTTGTGAAAAACTACTTATTTAAAAAAAATTATGTGCAGTTCGTATGATTTAATGTATTGTTGACAAACCTTGTAGTTTAATAATGCTCTCGAGCGCCACCAGATGGGGCGCGCGTTGCGAAAACCCGACGCTTCTTTACGTATTGTAAAAATAAAATCAAAGAAATTAAGTATATACTATATATTATATGGAGTACCTACGTCAAATGTGTCAATAATTTTTAATTGATTTTTTGGAAAGTAATGATTGTAAAAATCTATACCTACATAGATCACAAAACGAAATTCAGTACTTTATTAATAATAATTAAATAATTTTTTTAATATTTAACAATATTTACAAAAAACCTAATTTTTTCATAACAATAGCTATTTTCGCGGAGCTAATCCCGAACTAATTCCGGAAATCCTAGGCATGCGCTTTTTAAAATTTGGCGTTCAAAATGTAAAATGCGCAGGACAAATATTAAAATGCGCATGCCCAAGATGTCCGAACTAGTTCGGGATTAGTAGCGCGAAAACACATAATATTTAAATAATTTCAATTATTATTCAAAATATTAGAAAATGTACTCTGCCTACTAATTTTCCTGCTTCAAAAAGAAAAAAATTATCATTACAACACTGACAGTCGGTATCGCATTATTTGTCGAATGTGGTGAGGATAGTATTTTATGAAAAATGTTAAATATAAAAGTTGTAGATCTCAAAATATCAATAATAAATATAAAAAGTGTCAAAATCATATAATAAAAAAAAAATTGACTTTGGCTCCCTCTATCTTTTTAGAAAATAAATATATATAGTTTTACCTGTAAACAATTATGTTGAAAATTTAAAGCTCTACATTTTTACTTTTACACTTTTTTGTGCGACCAATAGGAAACGATTAAACACTTAAAAAAATTGGAGAAAGCGCCGGAACACGAGAACATGACATTCTACCCTTTAGACCAACAAGTTAAAAATATGATGTTAAAATATAGAAATATGATAAACATAATAAATACATAAAATATGACTAAAAATCGTGCCGATAAAGAAAAAATGCTTAGGATTGAATTTATTAAAAAAAATAAAATAAAACAAAGGGTAAAACAAACCCAACTAGTTTTGTATAATTTATGATTTATTTAAAGATTAAGGATATTGTTGAAAAAATATGTAAAAAATGTATAAAACTTAACATCTTTAAGACATAAAAATAATATAAAAAAACACATAAAATTTTATCTTTATAGACCCAACAAGCATTTAAATGCGATTCCCAGCAACAGCAACAGGCGGCAACGCCACAAGAAGGCGAGAACGGCGTAGCGGCACCGCAGCCACCGACGTCGGAAGCGTCGACGGACGCCGCGGCGGCAGCAGCGAACGCAGCTGCACTCAACGACCCAGTGAAAAACCCCCCTAAGCGACTGCACGTTTCGAACATTCCGTTCAGATTTAGAGATCCCGATCTTAGAGCGATGTTTGGGGTAAGTAAATGTTCTGCGGAACAAAACAATTTTTAATACAGTAGCCCAATATTTGCCAATATTGCCAATAAAAGTTTTGTATTTGCCAATATTCTTTCGAAAGTTTACTGCAGTAAGTTTGATATTAAATTTATTGTCAGTACGTATCAAGTTCGGTAGTCAATAAAAGTCGGCTTAGAACAAATTGATTTAATTTTACTTTGGGAAGATTTCATACGAATTTTAGTGGTAAACAATTTTTAATACAGCACTATAAAATATGAAAAAGTTCCAACATATAATACAAATATTTGAAAAAATTAATGATTTAAAAAATTAAAAAAAAAACGTTTTAACTCACTACAAAGTATAATAGTACGGTGTGTTCAGAAAATAATGGAAATGTTCGTTTTTTAAACAAAATATTTATTTATTTTTCTACATTAATGTTGTTGCCTTTAAAATAGTCCCCATTAGATATTATGCACTTGTGCCAGCGCTTCTTCCAATCCTCGAAACACTTGCGCTTTTAATGTCATCTATGCTTGCATCTATTAATTTTTGGGAATAGGAAAAAGTCACACGGAGCCATGTCTGGCGAATATGGAGGCTGGGGCATCATTACAGTATTGTTTTTGGCCAAAATTTCACGAACAAGCAATGAAGTGTGAGCAGATTATCTTGGTGCAAAAGCCACGCATTTCATACCTAAAACAATTAAAAAAATTTCATGGCATGAGCCAATCGATATGCCAACATCATCAGCGACTTCTCTGATTAAGATTTGGCGATCGTTTATTACCATTTCTTCCACTTTTTTCACGTTTTTATCGGATGTTGATGTGCTTGGGCGTTCGGGGCGTTCGTCATCTTCAACGTCTTCATGGCCTTTTGGAAACGCTTATACCACTAGTAAACTCTTGTTTTACTTATATCATACTCACCATATGCCTTTTCACACACTTTAACTTCATGTTTTACGCAAAATTTGATACAAATTCTTTGATCCATTTCTTTTAACGAACAAGCCGAGCTTATACAACCTAGTCTTACCTTAGCAGCTGCCACAGATAAAGTTAACAATGAAAGCAGCTAAAGTTTTTATCATACTTTAGGGGCATGTATATCAACATAATAAAGAAAATTTTATGACAACCGGACTCTCCGAACCCGCGAATTTAATTAAGCTCGAGCGATGCTTGCGAGCGAGTATTTAATAAAAACGAGTGTTTAGAAAAGTTTATAAACGAGTTGGATACCATACTTTTTCGACGAAATACTTAATATTACCTACTTAAAATATGGTTTAAATTAAATATTTGTATAAAGCTACATCTATACGAAAATAAAGTAACCATCCCAATAAACATTTTTGACGTAATTGTCTCCATTAACATTGCCTGTTATTATTTTAATTAAACTTAACAATTATTGATACTTTACAATATTAAAATAACTTTAAAATATGAGTATTTTAAGAAAATATTTTATTATCTGATTTTTTTTATTAATAATTACTAATAATTATTAGTAATTATAATTAATAATGGTAATTAGTATCGTATTTATTGGGAACTATTGGCGTTTAAATGTCAAATTTGACTGTGTAAATCAAAATTTATCCATTGAAAATAGACTAACAACCGATATAGAAGCAGTTGTTCACAGTAAAAGTAAATATAGATATGTTTAATGGGCACTGCACGCAAAATTTTTAACAATTTATCAGTTGAAGCTAGTTTACTGCAATACTATGGCAAAATCAATATAATATAATATAATCTTTTTAAATATTGGCTTCAAGAAACTATTTAGTACTTTTGTATTGAGATAATAAAAAATAGTTTTCACATTAAGTATTATTTTACAAGAAGGGCACTTTGTTTTAACGACTGTCAACTAACTTCAGCCCGTGACTAAAAACGTGTTGCTAACCAGCCAGTGACTAAAACGCCATTAAGCCACAACTTGTCAATGTGTATTTAAAAGGTCACTTAGTGTCATGGAAACATGTACGATAATGGGCGTTTTAAAGGTGGGAGTAGAAAAAATATATTATAATATACGTATATGTATTAGGTATATTGTTTTTTAAGTTAAATTTTAATAATAAAACTACAGAAGGTAAATTATAAACCGAGGCGTGAAAATAATTTAAAACATTCGCGTGATTATTCCGCATTAAAAACAGTTCATGAAGCATTGGCTCGGCTGGATTTTTCGCGAACACACTCTCCAGAAATGTCGAAAGCAGAAGCACCGATCGTTTGACATTTGACATGGCTCTTGAGGTAATACGTCCCAGCTGAAGGGTACTGAAATTAATGCAGACATTTATATTCGAGTGTTTTCTTTATGAATATTTCAGTGGATCGCAATAAATCCGCTGACATTTTACAAAAGGTTTCAGTGTATTTAAAAAAAATTTACATGATAATGCAGGCCTAGGTTCTAATTTATTTTTTATTAAAATAAATGGTTGCAAAGGTTTCTAAATTAAATGGTGTAAACCTACGACTAAAATTCCTTCAAATTTAATTTGGCGTATTACGGGAAAATTCGTTATTCATCACGCGGAGACTTAAAACTATAGTATACGTGATTGGAATATGATAAAATCGACAACCCACTGGAATTATCAAGGGCCTTGATCTTTAAAGGAGTTAGGAACTTCGTAATGCGAACTTTACTTAGTGCCAGTAAAGTTCAGCAATAAATTACAAAAGTAACGTGTTTTTTTTGTTAATTTTGTTGTTTGGATCGGGGTATTTCTTTAAATACAAAAAATAAAAAAATATAGATCCTTTTTGGTACGAAATAGAACCCAATATTTTGATAACGTTTTGATTAAAATTTGATATGAAACATTATGTAGAAGCACCCAAATAAGAAAAATAATATATTAAATGTATTTTAAAAAACATCGGTAAATAAAACATTCACAATTTGAAATTCGCCTTCTTAGAGATTTTAACCCGAAGACACCCGAATAATGGTTTTAAATTCCTTTAGATTTTCCACTCTACAAAGCATGAAGGATCACTTTTATCCCGGGAATATATCTGCTTCTTCTTAAGAAATTTATGATTCCATTTCCATTTGAACTAAACATTAAATAAAACTCTCGGCGGGGATTTTCATCATCATAAGTTTAACGTCAAACATGTTATTTAATTAATTTAAATTTGATATACGGTGTACTGAGTTTAATTAAAATGAATACAAAATCAAGCAAGCTTAAATCAAATTTCAGACACCGAACCGTCCTTTTGTATATAATAATATCCGGCTTGTAACAATTTCTATTTTAATTTCTCCTTAGTGCAAGATCAAGTCCAATAGGCTACGCAATAATAATGACATTAAAAATAATTTTTATTGTCCTGGTTAATACAAAGAAATTATTAGACAGTATGTTTATGTAATCAAATGCAAAAATAAACCATCAATATATACAAAAGCCTTCGATTTAGGATAAATAAACCTAATTATATTTAAATTCATTAACAAGTTGCTTAAAGCCTACAGGAGTTTATTAATTTCGCCATACAATAATTGTATAGACATAATAAGTGAAAATAAAAGTTATTTTTTTAAGTGAAACTTCTTTTTGCACAGTAGGGCAAATTTATTTCATGCAACTTGCCATGGAAAGATTATTTATTTTTGTACATCTCATTTATTTAATAAAATTGTTTGCTATAAAGAAAAATGTCTTTACCTAAAAAAATATTAAAATGGTATTAAGACCTGTCTACAATTGTCGCAGACGGCCGAATTTTTGGAATTTTCTATTTTTTGTTTCATGTTCATCATTATATTTTATTTTAATGTTTTTTAAAATAGTAATTATTGTGCATTTTTTATTTGGATACAAAATCGTTTTTACTTACAATTTTTCAATCAAATTTAGTATATGGTCGTTTTAAGGGGTGGTGAATCCAGTGCCGTGTACTCTCAAAAACTGACATAATAGGCCATGTATTTTGTAAAATTATTTTTTTTGCTCCAAAAATACAGTTAATCAAGATCTACACTTAAATACAAATTCGGTTAAAATCACACAATAAATAAAGATTTTACAGGGGTCGCAAGAGTCGCAAACAAATGGGTCACACTGTATGTAAAACTTGCTTTTTTTAAATTCCCAGGAATTACGAGTTTTGGTTTTGACAGCTTTTCAGTTTCTTTTAAAATTATTTGAGAACCGATGATTTTGAATGCCATTTTAATGGACATGTAATTACGCAACTTTTGTCTAATTTAACCGACCTTGACATGGTCGGCTAATCATGGAAGAAGAGAATACTCTTGAGTTGATAAAATTAGTGAAAGTTTGCTCTATTCAAAAAAGGGAAAATGATAACAAAGATCAACAGATAAAAAACAAACATGGGAATCGCTGGGGCTGCTAAAAACAGACGTTATGAATACCTGCAAACAGCAACACAAAATTGTCACAATTATCGTGCACAGCTGACATAATGTTCTGCGACAATTGTGGTCTACAATTTGTAGACCGGGCTTTATGCATTTACAAGAAATTCATTTATTATGATATGATTTGTTATTATAGAAATTTCTCAACTGCCTATCATCTTAAGTGGACATTTCAATGTAAATTTTGCTGAACCGTTGATAGATTTTTTAGATCGCGAATTTAACTTAAAATTAAATAACGATCGTTTAAATGGTACTCATATTAGTGAAATTAAACGTTTTTATTGGTTTTTAGAAACGTAAAAAAATAATCAATAGCAATATCACAAAAGAGTTGTAATATTTTCCTTTAACATTAAAAAAGAGCATTTAAATTTCCACCTAGAGTGTTTTTCTCTTTTGAAAACCGGAGCGGGCGTATTGCGTTTCAAAACGCACTTATCGCTATCTGTAACTTCATAAATTACGTTTGCTCTTCGTGTTCTTATTGAAACGGCACTCGAACGCAGGAAATGGAAGATTGACGAGCAGGATAAAATTACGTACGTACGTGTATGTGACGCGATGGCAACGGACACCGATTAGTAATTCTCGCTTTTAAACAGCAACATGGAAATGTGTGTTGAATAGAGTGCTGTGCATTTGATATCGACTCATTATTTGTTACGTTCTTCGGACGTTTTTAAGTGTAAAACATAATAATTTAGATATGGAGAAACCATTACAGTATTTTTTTACGGTAGGGTTATTCTATTTTTGGAATTGAAATTGTTCGTCGATTAATTAAATGTACTTATCAGCCTCTGTAGGAGTCCCTTAGTCCCTCGTTTCGCTTTTGTTTCGGTGATCTTCAGGTATGCATAAGCAGCGATAACGCGGGCATATGGTAAAATATCGAGGTACGGAGAAACATGTCACTTATGTACTTATCTGTATCCGTAATATTTCGTACTATATTACTGCAGTTGTGGTTTGAACTCTTTGAAGTTTTGGGTATTCTTTATTTAAGTGGTTATACCATAATAAATTTAGAAGAATTTTAGAAGAAACATGTCACTTATGTACTTATCTGTATCCGTAATATTTCGTACTATATTACTGCAGTTGTGGTTTGAACTCTTTGAAGTTTTGGGTATTCTTTATTTAAGTGGTTATACCATAATAAATTTAGAAGAGTTATGTTATCGATGTCCTGGTGTAGTTTCAAGAACCCGGTTTTAAATAAATTAAATCTAAGGGCAGTTTTTAATTGTCCAATTTTGTTTGAGCCGCACGCACATCTACACATGTACATCTTATGAGTTACGCCTGACGCTCAATTTTGCCATAGCATGGATGATTAGCACATGGACGTAACTTACCTCTGCGACTTCATGCTGTCCTGATACTTACCGGCGTTTAAAAACGTTATATGTTTTCCGTAAGAGGAAGGATATAGGGAATTCGAATATTTTTTATAAAGAATTGATTTAGAGCATGATCAAGTAGAAAAAACCATTTTGGAAAATAACGGGCACCAACAGCGTAATGCAATTTTTGCACCTCGGTGATAAACCCCTTATTTATAACATTATTGGCAGTATATTGGCGACATATCAAAATTGTGTTACTGAGATAAAAATATACCAACTTTCAAGATTAATTTAGGTAATTTATTTCCAAGATTAAAAACAAGTAGGACAACAAGTAGAAGCATGAACATTTTTGTATTCAATGAATACCTAAATTTAACTTTTGTTAAAAGATCAATGTTAGGTTAATATTAACTGATCGACGAAATATATATTGGCAAAATATCAAAATTGAGTGAGTTTAAAAAATAGCTGACGTATTGTTTTTTTCAGCAATTTGGAGCCATTTTAGACGTAGAAATAATATTTAATGAAAGAGGATCTAAGGTATGTAAACTACTGATAATAAATATTATTCAAAATAAAAACGTTTTTTGAGCCAGCTATGTTGCTATTAAACTTCTCAGTTATTGCAGAATAGTTAAGTAATTTTCTTTTATCTTATTTTTGTATTATGAAAATACTCGAAATTGATTATTATTTTTATTTATTTTTTGTTTTTTATTAATTACAAAATAATTTTGAGTGTTTTTATTCTGTTTTCTTTATTTTTATTTTTTCCAAACATTTTATTGACGAGAGACAGTGCTATAGTTTAGTTTATATTTTTTTGAAATAACCTGCTTTGTTTATTACCACATGTATATGTATTCAAATTATAATTATTTTTTTATTTGATTAATTTTTTATGCATCGTTGCAATAACTCTTTTAAATTCTGTAAATGTATTTGCCTTGAATTTTCCATTCTAAACTAATACGGCATAACTATTGTTCATAAGTTTGTTGTTTGGCTATTTTTGTGGACGTTTAATGTTCATGTTTTTTTCAGAAATTTTTTTGGTAGCTAACATTAATGTAATACTGTTTAATTTACATGTTTGTATAGGGGATATTAGTCACTTTAAAGCCTGTAGACTGTGCATTCACTCAACTAGATACCATTTATCCATTTTTCTTTTATTTAAACCAATTTTAAGCAACAAAAATAACGCTACACCACCAAGTTTTACCATTTTTTAATTCGCCGTTTTTCAATGTAATTTATTAGTATATTTTTAGTATTTTTATTACAACTAAAAAAACTATGAATTTAAGAAACATTATTTCTTATTATACATTTTTCTTTACCACAATCTTGGAAAAAGGAGTTTTTAATAGTTTTTTATTGAGTGGGCAAAATGTTCGTTTCTGATTAAGTCTTCGTTTGACGCGCGCGTGGCAAGGATACGAATCCAGAATCGACCATTGTCCACGAGTTCCACATATTATTTTGTTCCTCAATCAAATTAAGGTTAAGTTCAAGTTTAAAAATATTAAAAAAATTAATAATATTTTATAATTTAATATTTTTTTTATAAAATAATATCACCAAACCTTTTAAAATATTTTAATAAATTTAACAAAAATAGTTCCATAACAGTTAAAGTTTAACCGTTAAACCTTATTTTCCCAAGATTGGGGTGGGTCAAAGTTAAGTTTTATTATAATAATAGTTGCTATTTTACTTTCTACAGAAAGTACACATTATCTATAGCAATCCAGTTTTCGGTGGAGAATGCGTGCATATGTGATTGGTTAATTACTTTCTATAGAAATTAAAGCCTCTGTGTATACTAAAAAACTTATTAAAATTGAATAAAGATGATCAATTAAAATATGGTAAACTTTTGGGATGGTTTTTGTTGCTTATTTATTTTAATATTAATCACCATCAGGTAAACTGCCAAGTTTAAGTTTACATTTATACATTTTGTATGAATTCATGTGAATTTAAACTCATTTTTCTTTAATATCTTTAAGGCAGTTTACACTAACAAAATTAATTTATTCCCTTTATTTTCCATTAATTTCACGTTTTTTGTAAATAATAATAAAATAAAATAGTTACATGCTTGTTGTTAAAGAATGATACCTTTTAATTAATGCTTAAGTGTTTGAAAATACGTGAAGTAATTGGAGTCTTGAGTGTACATAACTCGTTAATGTTTAAAGTAGCTGCTATCAAAACTAAAAATCTTGACATACTTTTTAAAGAAGCGACTGGAACTAAATTTGAAAAGTTTGGAGTTCCTAATAAAATTAACAGCCAAATAGTGGCAAATTTTGATTATTTAGAAGCGATTTAACTTTTTTTTTCATGTAGTGTGCTTAGGTAAATGTGCATGTTTGTTGTACGATAACTTAACGGTTAACATTTTGTTGTACAGGTTCATCAGAAATTACACCTTTTTAAAAAACTATCATTCATGTTTTTCACTTCGAGATTATAAATAATTATTTCGTTCATCCCACGGTTAACTTTTATGAGGATTTATGCATTATTCTTGTTACTTACTACATATTATATTTCAAATCCAAACAATATGCAAAAATTTCGTAAACATTACTTTAAATTCCTTCCTATCTCATAGATTTTTTAATTGCAGAAGTACAGCACCGTTACACCTTAAGCACAGTTTTGAAATAATTTTCCCCGAAAATCGAGTTTTGTGTGAGTTAGGATAGGTTGAGTTGAAATTTTCGACTTTACTTTCTATAAAAAATGATCTCTATAGAAAGCAATAAATCAATTAGATGATCTGATTGGTGTATTTCTTTCTAAAGAGATCACTTTTTATAAAAAGTAAAATCGCAAATTTAAAGCTGTGTTTGATTAGAGTATCAGATTGATATGATATAAAATAAAGAAATTTTAGCGGTATTTGAAATGCATGAAACTATTTTTTGATAATGATGATGATTTATTTGATTTTAACGAAACGTACGTTTTTCTTGGCACAGATTAGTTAAGTAAATTGGGCAATTGCACTATATCTATGGGCTTTTAGTGATCTAACACCCTGGTATATAACGTAATTTATATCACGTTAGATTTGATAGCAGCAAAGCTGAGTAGGCTCTTCACTTCACTATATAATTATAATTATATACAGTGTAATTATTATATGATTGCATGACATTTACTATTTTATATACATACAAAGTATATCTTATACATACATATTGTTCAAGTGCAATTTGATGACTTTTATAATACTAAACATATGACATATGATGGCGTAGTGAGAACTATTCAATTTCATATAATGATTGTGCTGTAGAAGCTACATAATATTATATATATTCGTCTCTAATTTGACATGATCTGTCCACTGACTTCATATCCATTTACTTTGCCCAAAGTCGGACACTATTTTTTCAATATAACACACTTATTTTTATCTTATTATTTACCGCAACAACAATACTAAATATTAGGTTTTTGTATTTCCATTTATTAAAAATTAACATCAACATAATATAATTTAGGTATAAATATAATTCAATATATTGATGCCCTTCGGTTGTATGCAAAAATGATTGCAAAGATTTAATGGGTTCAGAAATATGTTTTTAAATAAACCCGTTTACATAAGGGTCATTCCACGATACTCGGGGATTTTTGTCCCGCCCGTCACAATTAAAAATTGTGAGTAAACACTATAGTGTATACACGTTATAAAATTTATTTTGAAATATTGTTTATTAAGTTTGCAATAAGCTTATAAGCACAATAAAAATAATATTATAAAATATTAATTTAATAACTTGTGGTTTTCCCTCACAATTTTTAATTGTGACGGGCGGGACAAAAATTACCGAGTAACGTTGAATGCCCCATAAATTATATATTTTAGTGTTAAAAATGATTTTCTACTTACCGTGAAGGGCCCAAATTATGAAAACTGATCTCGTCACCGTGATTTTCTTTAAGCGTCTTTCGGTCTTTTGGACCTCTTCAGTGCCGGGCATCATTGTGGTGTGTAAGGTAGATACCGTTCGCTCACCGCTGTCGTTGTACCTGCTGCATGCACGTATAGCGGCGGACGGCAGCTTGTTTCAATTGTGCTAACACATCAAATGGTTACCCGGGACTGAAGAGGTCCAAAAGACAAAACAGGATGTAAGTTTAATACAAAAACTAACTCTAGATTTCTAAGAGGGCAACCAGTACAAAATAATTATTATAAAATATTATTTTTGATTACCATAACAATTTAATGTTAAATCGTATAAAATTAAGCAAAAAAGGAAAATTTACTTTATAAATATTTAAACAGTTTTATTTCAAAGTATTCAATGACCCATCAAATCTTGGCAATCCTTTCTGCATACGGCCAATACTCAATTTAATCATTCGGTTCAAGTTAATTTCGGTGTTTTGCGCAGCTAAGTTTTACACACTGCGCAGCTCACTCACTATACCTACTATGTTGTTAATATTATAGAAGTTAATGGTTAAACAATGATTTAATAGTATTAGACTATTAGTTTCTGATCTAAAGCCTCTGTAATCTGCAGATTTTGTAAGCAACAATGGCGTGCAATGCGAAAGCTCAACACTAGAAGGCTCTACACTGCGAAGTCTGTAGATAAACAAAAAATAAAGCGCTCGTTTAAGTTTTTGTTAAACGATGGCTGTTTTGAATCGTTTTTACCTTTTTCCATTCAAGATTGTTTGTAATTAATTTGGTCTTTACTTGTGCTTGTAGTGTATGGCCTTATTATGGAGCATTTTTTTGATAGTGCCTCGATATTTAATACGAATTTAAAAGGGCTCGATATTATTATTCTCTTAGATCCTGTCTGCATTGTCGACTTCCTGTAATGTTTGTTATAAAACTGTTTTTATTTTTGTGTTGGTTTTGAACGGTGGCTTTTGGGAAATGTGCTCTATAGTTTTAATTGTTTACTACCCAGCTTTGTACCTCATACCTCACCCATATTTTTGAAAAACACAAACTTAACCGCTACGAGGCCTGTTTAACATTTTACACCAAATAACCTATCAACTTTATGCATTATTTTTTGATTTCAGAACCAGTGGGGAGTAATGATTGTAATTACTGCATTGTGTATTGCAAAACAATGCATTTATTCATTATATGGTAATATTAATATTGTTCCTTTATTTATTGTTTTTTCTTGGAAATAAAGTAATTAATGGGTGTGCTTTAAGCATTTATTAATATTAATGTAAATGTACAATATAGATAATAAATTTATGGTTCTGGGACGCAAACATCTCATAATGTATAAAGTTACTTTAGGCCTCAACAAGGATAATGTAAATAATTGCTGTTTATTACTTTTTTTTCGATCTCTGTTTATCATTGATTGGAAATTTGTATCATTCATTGTTAAAAATTATGTGAACCACATTTATTAACACAACTAGTCCTAATAATATATGAGTAGAGTAGAAATAATCTAGTTTGTTTCTAATTTAATTTAGTTTCAGGGAGTGTTTTTAACAAATAATATGGGATGTTAATTGTGTGTTTCTACGATAAAAAAAAGAATTTAACTGTGTAGTACGGAATTATTAAAAAAGGAAAAATAAATTTGTAATTTTTATAAAAGAAGGTATAAGGTTCAAGCTCTCGTTTCTCTAAGGACATCGTTCAAAACCAAATCGCCAAAGGCCTTTCCCACGACCTATATTTCTCATTATTTATCATTCGGCTAGATGCAACAAGTGTTGAATTATAACTATAAATGCGTTTCTGCAAAACGCTTCCGTTGCGTGTAGCAAATCAAACCAAGTCATTCCCTCATTAAAATGCAGGATTTTTTTATCACTAAAAAAATCATGTCGTGCAAAGAAGGCGTTTGGCGGGTAGATGAGTATGATTTGGGGACGGCGGTTTTAGGCTCCGGTGACGGCGGCTAGTTCGCGGTAGTGTACATAGGTAGCGCAACTTGTTGTCGTTAAAACAGCCGAAGCCTACCGCCCACTTGGTTAATACTTATCTAAACTAAACACAGCCGATCAGAACTTACATAGTTATGATGCGATAGAGAAAGTCATTATTATAAATAAAGAGTTAATTGCAGTTAGTTATTAATTAATTTTTTTTTTCTTATTTTAAATTCTTTACCTAATGGATTTATTAGCCTACATCTGCTGTAGAAGGTTTTTAAGAAAAATTGCATTACTTTTTGTTCAGTGATTTAAATTGATAAAAATTTTGAGATTATCTTGTTTATTTCTTGCACAATTATATGTTCGTTAGTGGATGTCAGATTAAGTTGATTTAGGATTTTTATGGAAATCCTGATTTAATCTGATATCACTAAATGAAAGTTGACAAGATTTAGGATTAGGATTTTTACTTTTAATATGATCTTGTGTAACTGTTTAATGGATTTAAAATGAGATTTTATTGAAAACCTCAAACGAAGGGCTTCGGTAATATATTCACGAATTTTGAGAATTTAAATATATAGCTCTTCAGAAGACTGAAAGCAAGACGTCATTAAATGTGATTGCGTATTCTGGGTTATCAAACAAATTGTGGAGGTGGTAATAAGATTGATGCTGCTTTTATAATTTTTTTGTTTATTTGGGATATATAATTTTATTTGAAGATAGTTTGTTTTCTTTTGATGAAGATATAAAAAAGAAAAAGTAATTGTTAAAATGTTCTTTTAATAATAAGATGTAAAAGTAATACAAAATAATTAAGACTAGTGAGAGCGAGTGTGGAATGAGGCTTCTAGACAGAGGCATGTCTAATGTCTAACGTCATCATGTCATTGCACGAGTTTGAAGAGCTGTTTATAATGCATGTCTTGTCTGTCTCTGCATGCAGGGGTTCGGTTTTGTAACATTCGCAAATAGTGCTGATGCGGAGCGCGCACGAGACCGACTACACGGCACCGTGGTTGAGGGAAGAAAAATAGAGGTGTGCATGATTATAGCTCTACGTGTAGCACTGGCCTGTCCCGTCCCTCCCCGGTAAAACAAGGTCAAAACCCCCGTGTGGCTGGCTTGCTGGCTTTAGTGACTAACCGGTAGCACCTCCCTGCTTCACACGTGTTGTTTTGACGTTCTTTTGCCGCACACACTCAAAATATTTAATTCAATTTTTATATTATATATTATTATTATATATAAAATCAGTCTGTAAGTCACTCTCAGCTGTCGGTTCTCCAATATTCTATACGTTGCTCTAGAACGTTTCGGCCTTTTAATGGCTTGCTCTTGCGGTGATGACGCGACAGTTGTAGTTCCGATCCCCCTCCCTCCCGTTCACGGGCCGCCGAGGAGGTAAGTGGATAAGGCCAGAGGAGCGGCGCCATGGTCCCCGGGACCGGGCCGGGGGCCCTGGCGCCGCTCCAAGCCACTTTCAAAACAATACGCCCCCACCCATTAAACTATTCCATCCGACACCACATCTTCATCTTTACACCAGACTTCATCCTGTGATGCACCTCCTTGCCCCATAAACTCACCCTTAGTCTTAAGAACCACCTTAGTATGTAAGACTAGGTTTAGTTATAACTCGAGGCGCATTCGCCAATTTTTGAAAATCCAGCTAAAATATTACCAATGTACGGTTTGGAAACTTTATTTTATTTTATGTCAGAAACAATTATCTTGATAATATAGAGATTTGCAATAGAAATTCCAAAATAAAGGGATAATGATACTTAACACAAGTAATAATCCAGTAATCTTTATTATTTTATTTTGTTTTATTTCGCAAAAACAATTTTGACATTTTTTACATCGCTTGATTTAAAAAAACCTTATTGCTATAAACCGGAGATTTTACAGTCTAAGGGTGTAAGATCTCATGATCTTGGTGGCCACTTCATATTATCATTTCTCTTTAAATATCAAGCTTTGTTTAGTTCGATTTTCAAAAACTACACGGAAAGAACTGTTACTAAAAAACTCATATATTAAGCATACGTATGCTGTTTGGCAACTACTCCTTGACTGAAAAGTAGTAATTACAAAACTAACTAAAAAAAAATACAAAAACGTTGTAAATGATTATTTTACGCATGTGATGATTTCGTAGTACCAACGTTCAAACTTAAAATTACTACAAAAATGCTAAAACAGTATAACAGACAAAAACAACAACAAAAACAAAGAGTAGGGTTTGAATAATTAGATTTAAGGTTAAGAATCGTTTTAATTAAACGTGCTTAAGCCAGAAAGTTACAGAAATAATTTTAATTAAAATACCAAAGAAAGAATAAAATAATTAATTAAATTAACAGGATGACATGAAATGTCATAAATTTTTATTGAATACCACTTATTTATTTATATTAATACCTTGTATTCGAAATTAAAAAAGGAATAAATTGTTAATTTAATTATGACACGTTAATATTTTTAGGATTCATTACTTTTAACAATCAATACCCAACGGAGTATTAACAGTTGGTCAAACGTTTAGTAATGCTTATTATACAGTCCGTATAATTTATTACAAAATATGTTTTACAAATAAAGTAATCAGTTCTTGGGTTTAAAGTAACTTCTCCAAAAGTTATAGCAAAAAGTACTAAATTCACTTTTCTTCTTATGGTAATGTTTTTTTTTAAATTGGAGAAATTGTTTGGGTTGATCTTTATAAGGTACCAAAATTTTATTTTAATATACAGGGTGTCCTGGAAACTGCTAAAAAGATTAAAATTTATGAATAATAACAAATTTTTAAGTATTTGTATTTTTTGACATTAACAGTAAAAAAATACATATGTCAACCTCAGCTGCCTTATGTTATATGTGTAGGTAATACTTGATTACTGGAGTAAAACCATATACCTATATACTGTATAATATACATCAGTCCCGATTGACGTCATATTAACGTCGTTAAGATTTGTTATGTTACGATAAAACTAAAACAAAACTACCAAACCAACCAACCTAACACTTTTAACAAAGAAACAACACATTAAAAAAAAAAAGTTCGACAACTTCTAGTAGTATCGAACCCGGTACCTCTAGCATGCAAAGCGACCGCCCTACCATCTGGGCCATCCAGCTTAACATTAATTTTATAACGCTCGGGGATTTACAGTGTGTGACGTCAGTAGAGATCGAAGTTAAGTCCCGCTTTGGGACGGGAGCCACTTCTATATATATATTTATATATACGCAGTTTGCTAAATAATTGCCCGAGACTACTCGTCAGAATTTTGTATTTTTTATACCTAAAATAACACTCCTTTACGTAGAAGACTGTTGTTCTCATGTTTGAGAATGATTTCCGAAAAATCAAGTAAATTGAAAACAGCTTGGGTATTTTAAGAGTTAGAGCTTGTGTGTTTAGTAATAATTTCCAAACAAAAAACCGTATAGGTTTAAACCCAAAAGTTTGGGAATCATTACTAAACACACAAGCGCCTACTCTTAATTAAAATACCCAAAGTTCTCCTCAATTTACCTAATTTGTGTATCGCGTTAGTGCGCAAGTTTCAAGACATTCTGTATTTTTTTTAAACTGATTTTACCATACTTTTGTAATGTTCCTAAAAATGGTTTTACTTTTAAATGTTTAATGAATTTTACTATAAATAATAAAAGTTTACCGCTGAAGCAGCTTTCATTGGATTTTTATAAAAAGTTCGTGACCGTACATACAAAACCAATTTAGCCAACTATATTTATATGTTGTAAAAGCTATTTTATCTTATTTAGTTAAAATTTATGGTTTTTTATTTTTATTGTCGCACATTTTATTACCCAAAAAAGACTGGATTTTTTCGAAAACAGCGCATTCGCTTCGAGTCCCCGATCCCACACTACCAAGCGTATGAAGATGCAACGATCTAATTACTCTTGTGACAACAGCAAATGTGATTATATTTGCTATTAGTATTATGTGAAATCCAAACGCAAACCGTGAAATTAGCATGTTAATGATACTGCCTCAGTGCATTACATTACAATTGTGTTTATGCCATTTAACTACTTGTTCCAGTCTAAACAGTGTTTGGTAAACACTGCTAAGTATAAGTGACATAGGAATTCTCTATGCAACATTGTTTCTTCTTGTATACGCTCGGTGGTATAGATAATTTGAAAAGTGAACCAATTTAACTTTGTTTAATTAACTGAGATAATTAATTGTTTTCAATAAAACAAATCTAACTATCAAGACAGTTATGAGCCAATTAAGTTTTGTTTTATTTTAGCTTTTTGTACAGGGTGGGCCATCTATAAGTTGAATTTTAAACTCCGTGCTATTAATGAAGCTTTCAACTTAAGCGCCATGAGTTGCTGACAGTGATTTAGTTTTAACCTTCCGATTACAAAATATGCACCGAATAAATTTGGATCAACGTTTCGAAATACTCAAAACTTACTTTGAATGTGACTGTGATCGCAGAGACGGCAAGAAAATTGCGTTTGGAAGAAATGTGGCGCCGTCAAACCAAAGTATTACAAATTTGATCAAAAAATTGCGCAGAAATGGAATGCTGGTGGACATAAAACATGTTTCGCATGCTCGTCCTAGACGTACACCTGAAGCAATCGCTGCTGTGGCCGAAAATGTACGCATGAACGCGTCAACATCAACTCGGCGCAGATGTCAACAACTCGGCCTTTCCCGTACCACTCTGAGGATGATTCTGCACAAAGACCTCGGTATGTTTGCGTACAAAGTCCAGCTTGTTCAGGAGTTAAAGCAAGTTGACCATCCACAACGTTTTCGCTTTGCTGAGTGGGCTTTAAACCAGTTGAACGATGACCCTAATTTTGCAAGAAAAATCATCTTTTCGGATAAGGCGCATTTTTACCTCGGAGGTTATGTCAACAAGCAAAACTGTAGGATTTGGGCCACGGAAAATCCACGCGTCGCCGTAACAAAGCCTATTCACCATTTAAAACAAAACATTCAAGCTCAAATTGCCTAAATAGAGCAGCAAACTTTTGACAAAGTGCTTGAAAATTGGTGTTCCAGGATGGGCTACTGCCGAGCTAGCTGAGGTGGCCACTTAAATAAAATAATTTTCCATACTTAATCGGAAGAAACATTGTATCAAATAAAGCAAAATTCTTTGAAAAAAAATCAGTTTTTCTTGTTCTCATTGCTATTTTATAATTCAACATAAACATGGCCCACCCTTTACTTAATGTCCATTAACTAATTTCAGAGATAATTATTTAGAAAAGATTTAAATTTTCTCTTAAAAGTAATTTATTGTGGTTCATTTATCAAATTATTTTTCCTTGACATTTTCTGGTATTAGTTTTAATAATGTGATAAATCTTGCTAGTCAGTTTAACATACAAGCTGTATTAATTATATATGTGATATTATTTTTATTTTGTTATTTTATTGTAATTTATAAAATTATACTGTTATTTCGTATTATATCAGAAAATGATCATTGTATATAGATTTTGTTTTGTAAGCTGATTTTATATCATTGAAACCAATAAAATCTAAATAATACTATGTCGAACAAGTACATAAGACAATTTTAATTGAAACGAAAGCCAACATTGCTTTTGCCAATTGGCAAAGGTTCAAAGCTTCGTCACACAATTTGTTGTATTTTGACATTATTCACTTTCTATTTCTGTGTGTGCAATGATATGAAATATGCAATATGATAATAAATAGAAATGTAAACGTCAGGAAATGCAGTAAGGATAAAGCTGAGAATATCCTTACCATATCCAATGCAAGCACTTGTTTTGTAATTTTCCGATGACTACCAGATAAATTTAAAACACAGAGACAATTGGTTGCATTGGATTGTTTTTTTATTTTTACTAATATTTTCTTTTGTTTAAAAAAATAGGTTAATAACGCTACAGCTAGAGTACAGACTAAAAAACCACCAACGCTTCCAGCAGGTAAGAATTTCTTTAGGCCTTTCATATATTTAATATTTAATTTCTTTAATATACTGCGTTTCAAAATTGGAAAATATTAAAAATTGTATAATTTTTTTTATTATTTTTTCGTTAAAAATATAAACATTTTTGAAAACATTTATAGAAGAGTTGATTTTTTTAAATTTTAATAATTACGTACCTGTAGCTAGATTTTCAAGCTAAGATTTTACTGCATATTTTTAAAAATCAAATTTATAAATAAAGAATAAACAAAAAACATAAGCTCTGCAATTAAGCTATTTCTGCACCATTTGGAAAAACTAGATAAGTAAAAAATAAGAACTTTCCAGGGCAGCACTTTGAAGCATGATACTAAATAAGTCTTATCATGCTTTTAAGTCTTTCATCTTCGGTGTAAATCGATTGATATTTGGACTACTTGATATTTGATATTTCGACTACTTTCACATAGATACCAATATCGGTTACCCAATAAACTCATCTAATTTTGACAAAAACTGACTTACCTAGTTTTTATGGAAAATTTGGGATATTTAACAGAATTATAACAAAGCTTGGTGAAGATTTTCCATTGATTTCGGATAAATAGTATACTGTTATGACAGTATTTTATTTTGTAATTATTTTGGATTCCTATATACAGGTATAGGTCTATCAAATGAGATTGGTATATGTTTTATACGTATTCAAAGATACTTCCCTGTTTTTTTGAGACTTTTTTGGTGATGGTTTTTATGTGTTTTAAAAATTTTACGATTTATTTTTTAATCTTCCATAACATCTGGAAAAATTAATGGATTTGGACAAATTTTTCGTCTTTAAGGTTGACCTCAACTATTTTTTCAATTTTTAAAGACTTGTTAAAGGGCTTTAGGAAAATATTTTTCCTACTTCTACTGCGGAATATTACCGTTCTAATATAACTTTTTAATATGGAATGACATATATTTCTTAAAGTATTACAGAATGAATTATTCTATTATCGGCAGTGTTGCCGTCAAGACTAACACATTCTAGACTCTTGTCTTGTCTTGTCTAGAATATCAAGACAAGACCGTCAACATATCTTGTCTAAGTGTATCAAGACAAGACAAGACCTTAGCCAAAAATCTTGATTATAATCAAGACAAGACAAGACTTTAAGCCAAAACTCTTGATTATTTTTAAGACTAGATTAAATTTAACTTTTAAAAAATATTAAAAACACTTCATTTAATTATTATTTTTTTTATATAAAAGAATGTATATATTTTATTGAAATCTTGGGCTAATTTTCTACATTTATTTGGTGCTTATCTTGGGCTTATTTTCTAGATATATTTAAAACTATTTTTGCCAATAACCTTATTAAGGGTTTTTTCTTATGTTGAGTTGTCTTTGAAGTAAATTGTTGTTGAAGTACGTGAAGTTGATGACTTAAAATCGATTGTTGCTGTGGTGGTACTGTTGGTTGGCGAAAAAACACTTTCATCATCAGTTGTACTTGCGATGTTTTTTTATCTGCATTGCAAGTACAGGAAAATTTTATACGCTTTGTTTCCATATTTTAAAATGCTTCTTAGTATTAACCAGTAGTAAAACAACAAAAACTCACCTAAATAATAATAAATTTACTGCTTAATTTAGTGCAAAAACAAAACGCAAGGGTTGTGTCTGCATGTGGCGGAAGTGATTTGTTTTCACTGGTTCTAAAACAAGAGTGGGAGTTACATTGCGCAGACGCATAATTTATATCTAGACTCTTGAATAATAATCTAGACTCATAAATAATAATCTAGACTAGTTAATCTAGACAAGACCGCATAAAGCTTTTTTAATCAAGACTTAGACTTACACAACTCTTGTCTTGAAATTTTCAAGACAAGACAAGAGTAAGTAACTCTTGTCTTGTCTTGTCTAGACGGCAACACTAATTATCGGATGACGGAATAAACACAAATTAAATTATTTTTCTATGGAATTTTTTTGAAAAAAAAAAATTTCATTTTATGACGAAGAGTTGTACTACTTGTCTACCTTACCACGCATCTTCGAACTATTGAACCAGGACACGATTTTATATAAACTATAGCAACGACACATTTCCGATAGAGAGAATTTAAATGCTTTAAACGGGAGGGGAAACATGGAAAAATATAATCTAGTGCAGATATTTAACCGTAGCCAATAACCACACTATGGAACAATAGCATACTCTGTGAAGTGATATATCTCACTATAGTATCCCTATATCACAATATGTTCAAATATTCTCACAAAATCAATGTCCAGCGCAAGACAACAGTATTGTGAAAATATACAAACAATTCCGCACACAGAGTTTATATAGGTAATAACATAAAACCACTATTTTTCTTCTAAGGGTAAATCCTTTTGAAATAATGCTAATATATTACCCATGTTTAAATATTCATGCATGAGCACTCTCCAAACGAAAACACAAATACAAATACAGACCCAAATAAAATCAACAATATGCAATAAAATAAAATGGTGTAAAATACAAATAAAATGCAATAAATGGTAAATAGGGGAGCGTCATAACAAGAAAGAGCGAAACATTCCAAAACTCTAACCACCAAAAAGTGTTGCTCTGCATAACAATATAAAGAGAATTTAATTAGATATAGTAACGTTAAAGTTATTAGGGGACATCCATTAATTATGTGAGACAAAAATGGGAGGAGAGGGGTCCAGCAAAATCTCATTTTAATCTCACGTCAACTGAGTTTAATAAATATGTATTATAATTCAAATTTGTTAAAAAAAAATCATTTTTTTACATGTTGTTCGCAAAGAAAGTTTAATGGCTAAAATCTCACATCTCACCAAATCTCACCAAGGGGGAGGGGGTCCAAATTATCAGAAAAATGCATCACGTAATTAATGGATGTCCCCTATGTGACAATTTTCAAAATTTAAAGTTGTTTGTTGTTGGTTTTAAATTGACACCCTCTTTGGTGAGCCTATCATTTATGTTTAACAAAAAAATTATACAATCGTTTAAACGAAGAAGTTGTTTTAAAAGGTTTTTATTTCATTAAATCCAGAATATAAAAAAGTATTTGTAGGACATGCTTTGAGTTGAAAATTCAGATTTACATACTTATTTTTTTAAACTTTTACAATTAATAAATACAAATAAAAAGCAAAGTTTTTAACGAATTATTATGTTTTAACAATGACCAATTAACCTTTTTAAAAACAATCTTTTTTTTACTTGTTTCTATGGAATTTATTAAGTGTAGTCCCATTAAATTATTTAAAACATTAAAAAATTAACTTTTCAATAAAACTACTCTAGTTTATTTTTTCGAAAAGTATCTACATAATTAAGAATTAAAACAGGGCCTTACAAAGGTACCATGTATAAATATTAACAAAATATTAAAATTATCTTATGTTTAACATTGGAGCTCAAAGAAAAAGTGGACATTTTAATTGGCATTTACCTAAATCCATCCCAAAATATAAAAAAATAAAAACCCAAACTTAATAGAAGACTTTATAAAACCAAGAAAATAATAGAAATCGGCTTCGTACATACAAAAATATATCATTTAAAAAAATGGTTTCAATATTCTCTAATTTTGAAAGGCAGTGAAAAATGTCAATCGAGATTTATCTTGTTAAACGAACGAAAAAAAGTTTGACGAGTTCTGAGCTAAACCCCTGCAAAAACTTACTACGCGCCAAGAAAGTTAAGCCCTGGAGGAAAAAGTAATCTCGAAACTTTATTAAAGAACAACCGAGATTAACACTCTGAACAATTTTTTCCTTCTACATCGAGGGTGAATTATGAAGCATCAAACTCAATTATAAATTCATGCCGTTAGTCGAGCTTTGATAAATAAATAATAGAGATTAATGAATGTTTTATGAATAAGAAATACGGGCGATTCAATTAGTCTCGAATATAAATTTTATTTATTCAGTGAAACCGTTTCTTCAATACGACACGGTTCAAATTTTATTCGGATTACAACGTAATACCTACAAATTAACCCATCTCACTGGGGGCTGCTTTTTGTTTTAACGTGCTTTAAATGCGTTAAAATCTGGGTTAAAACAGTGAATTCATAAGTTAAATTAAATGAAAAGGTGAATAAAAAATAACCTTTAAATTCACAGCTAACTTAATAACTTTTTAATTCAGTTTTAGGTAAATACCTTTTAGGATTTAATATTAATTTTGTTTGGTTGTTTAGTTTTAAAATTAGTACCTACTAAGAAGTAGAACAATAATTATTGTCAATAATGAACACATCTTTAAAAAGGCTGTATTTACCATTGAAAAAAATGGGATTCACTTTCACGGCCATTCCACGCGTAACGGATGGGACAGTTGCAAGTTTTTATTTACAAAATAATATTGTTCTATTATATTACTAATGTCAAATTTTTATAAATAGTTCTAAACAAAAGCTGTTTAACAAGGTTTTTATTTGGTAAAAGTAGGTATCGTGGTTGTATGTTTAATTGCTTAAAAATTAATTTTTTGTATTCAAAAACAGTAGTTTTTTAATGATAAACAAAATTATATATAATTTTGTTTATCATTAAAAAACTACTACACCTTTTCCAGTTGATATTCAGAAAGTAGCAATTGATATTCAGAAAGCAGCAATTGATTTTCAGATATTGCAAATGAAATTCAGAAAATAGGAAATGTAATTCAGATATTTCAAATGATATTCAGAAAGTAGCTGATGTAATTCAGATATTGCAAATGATATTCAGAAATTACAAATAGTATTCAGACATTAACAATTGTAATTCAGAATATGTCAATTGAAATTCAGAAATTAACAAATGATAACATTTTCATACTTCATTTTACTTATTTTCTAAAATCTCAATTTAATGTATTTCTTTGTATATTGCTTTGTTTCCATGGAATTGACAATAATAAACAAATTTATCACCATTTAAGTAGGTATATTTATCATAATTGTCAACTTATTGCAAGTAGGGACCGAATTTTGTTCATTTGTACTTTATATATATTTCATTTACTTAGTTAATAAAGATAACGTGTACTTTCATCATCGATTTACTGTTTGCAACCCACTGTTCCTGAAACAATTGCTGCGGCTGAATTACATTTGATTTAATCTGAAAAACATTTGCTACTTTCTGAATTACAATTGCAAGTTTCTGAAAATCAATTGTGTTATCTGAATTATAATTGCTACTTTCTTAAAATCAATTGTGTTATCTGAATTACATATGCTACTCTCTTAAAATCAATTGGAATAGCTGAATTACAATTCCTACTATCTGAATATCAACTGGAATAACTGAATTACAATTCCTACTTTCTGAATATCAACTGGAAAAGGTGTAGTACTGTTTTTACATAACCATATATGGTTTTTATTCAAAATTATTTTTAATGCTTATATTATGACCACGTTTTTGTTAAAGAATCCATTTAGTTCATAAATATATTGATATTTTAAAACTTTTCATTTTTGCTTTGTTTGCTTTGCTTTTACCAAAATATTATTTATGGTAAAACTATTCTTATATGCATTTGACTGTATTAAGTTTTTAATTTGTGTCTTGAAAGCATAACAAGTAAACGTAAAAATATATTTTTAATATTTTGCTCCTTTTCATCATAAGGCTGCGTTCCGCATTCAAATGTCAAAGTGGGTCTTTTGCTTTTGGATCATAGTACTGTGTCTTTTAGCTTTAAGCAATTAAATTAAATTGAAATGCTAACCTCCTAAATTAGATGCAAAAAGCGAGTTTTAAAAATTAAATGTGTGTTAAATTACTTACGTTAATACACATAAAAAACTAATTTATTCACAATTGATATGCTGTTTGAATAAAGTTATTTACAACTTTTTATTTTCTATGAGAAATTACCTTTCAGCATCTAATCTCAATATATTTTATAGTTCCAGTTCTGCAATGGACCGACGCGACGATAAGAGCTGGGGTTGCAGCTTTACAGCGTGGCAGGGCGCGCGCCGCCTATCCGGCGACGGCCGCCGCTGCAGCTGCTTTTGCGCGCCACCCCACGCCGTTGGCGGGCGCCCTTCAAGGCTACACGCCCATGATGAACACGCTGCAGGTAGACGGCGGTCTCTATTACGATCCCTTCCTTGCGCATGCGGCTGCTGATCCAAATTACAGGCTACAGGTAAGAAAAAATATAAACATATTTTAGGATGGTTAAAAAATATATTTTTTTAAATTTCGCTTGAAAATATGCCTGTATACTATATTATTTTTATAACATTATATTTTAATAATGTTTACCAAACATAAGCACAATTACAAAAAATTAGTGGTTGCTCCTAATTAAAAAAAAATGGAAAAGGGTGAAAATTTGATGTGTCACTAGTATTTCTATTTTTACTATTTTCCAAAATTTTAAAAATCTAATGCAAAAAATTTTATTTGTGCCAATTTTTTTTGAGAAATCTTAAAATATGTTTCTTGCGCCATCCTAACTTAATCATTTTATATTATTTAATGAGTTTGTTTAATTAAATTGTTTATTAATTTTAATATCAATGGGTTTTTTACACTATGTTTATTCTAGTTTAATGTAAAAAAAATAATTCATAATCAACTAAGAATTTTTAATATTATAAACATGTATCAAAGATTGTTTTAATTTTTGATAATTTTTTTATTAAATAATCTACAAATCCATTGTTTTTATTGATTTATTATACTACACTAGCTGTGACCTGCGACTCTGCTGCGTGGAAAAGAACAGAACAATTACAAAGTTAGTTATAGTTATACTCTCCGGCATATAAACTAACTATCTAGATCACGTCTACCGGTTTTTTAAATTTAAAATTAAAAAATCCGCTAAAATAGTCAAAAATTGTCCCTTTTTCGTTCTTTTTCCATTCCGTTTCAGGACCTAAGACACCTTTGTACCAAATTTCATTAAAATCCCGTCTTCCGGAAATGGCGAATGCGCCAGGATTAACACTAAATTTTGGAGTGGAAACATTAATATAAAACTAGTAAACACAACTTATCCTTCACATATTCTAAAAGCGGGTTTAAAATATTTTTGTTATCTATTTTAGGTCCAGGCACCCTGTTTTTATATAAACTCCTATAAATATAAAAACCAGTCGCACTGTTTTTCTGGTCGTCACCAAATTTTGTTTCCCAGACCCGTTATACACGTAATTAAACATTTGTATCTTTACCGTACGGGTAAGCTGCACAATTAATTTTTGCAACACAATTTATATACTGCGCGTTTGTATAAAATAGTGCCTATAAAAAAATTGCACAGTAAGATGAAAGATGACAAACCATAAAGAAATAGCTTTGAGTTAAATAGAAATTGTGCATGTATTTTGCTAAAACAATTAAGGGAAAAAAATAATCAAAAATATATGAAATTTGACAACTGTCAACTAACTTTAAACTAACTTCAGCCCGTGACTAAAATGCCATAAAGCCACAACTTGTCAATGTGTATTTAAAAGGTTACTTGGTGCCATGGAAACATGTACGATAATGGGCGTTTTAAAGATTGGAGTAGAAAAAGACTATTAAAGTTTATAGCCTCTTCGAATTGTATAAAAACTATGTGTTTAACTAAAATGCCTATCTATCTTTTAATTTAATTTTGAACTAATTTTTGTCAATGTGGATACAAATTGTTATAATCCATTTAGACAAAAACCCATTGATATAATTATTAGAAATACTTGTAAAACTATTTAAATAATATATTTATATAAATCTTAAAATAAACTTGTATTAAATAGCAAAATGTATTGAAATACAAAATTATAAAATGCCTAATTTTATTACAAAATACTGATAAACATCTTATATATTTTTAAATTGTGTTTTTGAATTTCAAGCCATTTGTATGATATGTTAACTCAACATTGATGGATTTCTTTTATATTTATATAAACAAGATATTTTAAAGCCACGTAGGTGGCAATATAAAGTGAAAATTCTTACGCATACAACTTTTATTATTCTCAATATATGCAACCAGTTTTGTGTTTTTTATGTGCTTCACAATATAATTAAAGCGCACATAATCTCTTAATGCAAATAAATGTTGCTAAATTAATCCATAAATAATTGAAAACAGATACAGAGGCCAATCAATGCTTGTGTGCAGATTAATGGCATATAAAATTATCTATTTTTGTCATGTTCATCTAGTTTAATAGAGATTTATTAAATTTGCAATTTAAATTTAAATTGAACGCACATTTAATAGAAATGTTTTCCATTGGCGTATATCTTGTTTAATAAATATAAATTTATTATTAACACAAAATTAAATAAAACGTAACTGACCAGTTTTTTTGATGGGCTGTTGTAATAAATTTCATGTCTAAATGTTTTAATGTTCTTTTTACATTATATTTGCATTTTTATGTGAATTTATATGTTGCATGTCAATAGTCAACATAGTAAAACGTTTGATTTTTTCATGTACCTAAATGTTAAATATTTTATTTGCACTAACAATTAGTTCAGTTACTGTAGATATTAATTAGATTTAAATGGTTCATTTGCTCGTTTTACTAAATACCAGCGATTCATTCTAAAGAGCACCAAAACAAATTAAATGTATATTCAGTTACTTGTTTCATTTTGTGTTTAATAAATAATTTATACTGAATTTTTACGAACACATGTAAATAATAACAATTTAAAACGGTAGTGTGAAATTTTATTGTAACACCATCATTTTCCCATAATTATTTTCCCCGAAAATTGTTCGGTCTTGTTAAACTTTAATTACGATAATATCCACACTATTGTTATTGTTAGATTAAGATGATAAAGGCTGTCTTCTAAATATTTTGGCAACTTTTGTAATCATGTAAATACCACAGCCTCGATGTTAATTATAATTATTATCATCATTAACGTTTCTCCTGGATATGGTTATAATTATTTTTAAATTTGTATAATTCTTGAACCTTGAATTTTAGTTAAACTCTAGTAAAAAAAAATCAAGTATTTTTGGCAACATGATAAAATATGTTTTTTTAAATCAAAAGTTAGTAATATAAGTAATATAAGAAAATGGGTCATTGGTGTCGAACATAATTTTCAAAACAAGAAACTAGAAAAATCTGTTTATAACTTTCTTAGATTAGGGGACGAACCATATGTCCCAGGTGTTTTTTTTTATTTACTGAAAAAAACCTGAAAATATATTATAAAGTTTAGTTAATAAAATAGCTCAAACTAAAAGTACCGAAAAACTACCGATTGTGCAGTTTGGTATAAAATAACACATACATATGTTATAGTAATAACCATTGGGTAAACATTTTTGGTTCAATTAAATTTAAAATAAAACCTATATCATTTAGAGTAAACTAATCTAGTTTCAGAGTGTAATAATTAGAAAATCGGCTTACATTGTGTGCTGACAACTATTCCCTCTTTAGTTTTATGTCGGATTAAGGAGACGCGGCTTAAATAATATCGTAGCAGTTAACTTTAAACAGCTTAAACGGCAAACTTGCCGGGATCCGGTAATAAAGTTTTGCGACAAACTGAAAGCAATTTTGCGAAATGGGAAATACATTTTCCGGTAATGGATAGAAAAAGGACACGTGTCTACAAAATAAAACTTGTAAATTAGTTTTGAAAAAAGAATCCGGCTTGTTGAGATCTTTTAAAATAAGAGGCAATACAAATATATTCCTGTCAACACTATAAAGTCAAAACAATTTTTATAATTTTTATTTAGTAAGGTCATTTGAAAATAATAAAATAATTCATAACTTTTTTATAATAAGTGTGTATTTTTCACTTGTTTTAGAAGTGTGAAGAGAATTTTTTTCTCCAAAACGAGAACGGTAAAGAGAATAAGAATAAGAATAAGCAAACACATAAAGTTTTGTAAAAAAAATCGGGGTAAGGATTTTTCGATACATATTAGAAAATATCAAATATTTTTTAAAAAATGCATCACTATCTCGAAAACAAAACTTTTCCGGAAACTAGTCATAGGAAGATTTTTTCTCATTGCCATGCAAGGAATCATATACAGAATTTCACCCTTAAATTATCTACTTAGTTGGTAAAATTGTTTTCGACACGCATTAGTGAAGTAAATTATTATTTTTAGTAACCTACAGTAATTTAATTTTTATTATCGCCATATCCAGCAAAAACACAGTTCTAAGGGTAAATCTGCATACTGCAGAATATTATAAGTCAGAAAGAAAAAAGAATGTTCGTTATTCGAACGCTTTGGTTGTGCATGGCATTTGCATGGCTCCTGTCTGTTCTAGGCCGCCGCCGCAGCCACTCCCCTACTAAAAACGCCTCTGTCGACTGCCCAACAGGCGAGCTACGCGGCCGCCGCTACCTACACGGCGGTGGCAGCGCGATACAACGCCGCAGCTGCAGCGCAACCGGTCGCCGGCTACGCGGCCGTCGCAGCTGGATACGGCAGGGAATACACCGACCCTTACTTGGGACATGGCATCGGCCCTATGGCCGGATATGGGGTAAGTCTAACTTTTTATTTATCTATCCATTTGTACATTACAATTTTATTTTTAATAAAGACATAAAATGTAAAAAAACTAAAATGGCGTAATCCAACATGGTCAATCCGGAAAAGGTTTAGCGCGATGACCCAAATTATTGAAATTATTGAAGAAGTCTGACAGAATTTTAATAAATAATTATTTAAAAGAAATTGGGAAGTTTTACTTGTGAAGAATTTTACTTTTCATTTTAAATTATGATTTAAAATATACCCCAAATACAAAGTAAAAGTTTTAACAATTTTTTGTGTTGAAAAGCGACTTTTTTATGAGAGTGTTGCTCACGAGGCCGTTAGGCCGAGTTTGCTTTAACACCAGCTTGAAGAAAGCTTTTATCACAAGTGAAATACAATGTTTTTTCTACTACCATTTTATTTTTAATTATTTTCAAATACAAAACAAAATAACCTAAAAACTCTTTTCACACAGACCTGTCACTCTTCACAAAAAATTGTCACTTTACATTTGAGTTTTGCCTTGCCAATGAAAAGATTCAATTTCCAAGCAAACATGCATTTACGAAGTGGTCGTAGGAAATAGTTATTTGTTTTACAAGTGTTGAAAAGCGACTTTTTCATGCGAGTGTTTAAGTTGCTCACGAGGCCGTCAGGCAATGTTTTTTCTACGACCCTTTTATTTTTTATTATATTCAAATACAAAACAAAATAACCTAAAAACGTGTTTGACAGCTGTTAAAATTACTTTCATCTTATTCTTTTAATTTTTAAGGTATAAGTTACTTAAAATCAATAAACTTACCTTCTCAATTTAAATAAAGGCACTATAAATTAGAATTTATAATACAAACACAATTAATTGTGTTCTAAATGATATTTAAACATATATACAAATACAATACAAATTTTGAAACGAATGTCACGATGCTGTCAATTTCTTTTCATACAGACCTGTCACTTTTCACACAGAAATGTCACTTTACATTCGTGGTTTACCTTGCCAATTAAAAGATTCATTTTCTAAGCAACGATGCCAATACGAAATGTGACTTTTACATAGTGGTCGTAGAAAATAGTATATTATGTATCAAGTTTTATAAACGCCATTTTAGTTACGAGTTTTATTAGGCACGAGCGAAGCTTGCGAGCGAGTGTTTAATAAAAATGAGCATCTAGAGAAGTTTATAAAAAGAGTTTCATACTATACTTTATCTACTACGAACAAAAATAAGAATTTAAAGCCAATTATAATTCATAAATTTTTGACATTTGACGAATTTAACCTCACTTTTTCGCAATTTATAATAAAGCTAACTTCAGCCCGTGACTAAAATGCCCAAAAGCCACTGTTGTTAACTTCAGCCCGTGACTAAAACGCCATAAAGTCACAGCTTGTCATTGTAGGAGTAGATAAAATTATTTATTTGAATTTTTTACATTTAGTGTGTAAATTACAATACAATATTACTTATTATTTTTCATTTAAAGCAAAACTTTATTGTAAGTATTTCCAATAGCTAAAATATTTAATTATATTACACAATTACACATTATATTTAACTTTTTCAATAATTCTGGAAATCGTTGGCATGAAATTGCTGAAACACTTCATACAATAATTGCCTTTGTATTTATAAAGAAATGTGTACCTACTTTTATAACCACCTGTTTAATCTAGTTGAGTATTTAGTTACCTGACAAGGTACAGTTTTGGTTTTTCTTCTATGGATATTAATTTTGCAACCTTATCAAGTTTAGCCATCGTATTGAACAAAAGGGGATACTCCTTACTTTGTCATAGAATGCGATACGACAACAATAGATTCAAAACACATCCGTAAAGCCCTAGCCTCATTATGCATGTTAAGCGTGTTCTCCCCTTCTTCCCAAACACCTAACGTCATAATCTAAGATTATTAATATTTAAGGAATTCTAATAAACGGGAATATCTTAAAATCCCCAGGTCTCAAATTATTAGTAATGTTATCTTGTGGTTTACAGGGTTGCCACCTAAGATGATTTGTTGATGAAAGTTTAGTTTAGTTTAATTTGTCTCCAGCAAAAGAGTTGTTTAAATTTTATTTATCTTTATGATAACCAGATTTTATTTTATAGATTTTTATACATTTTCTATCGCGTGGCATTGCATGAGTTTATCTTATACTTAAAACAGTTATGCCTGAAATTTTCTAGAGAGTCATATCCAATTTAAAATAGAAGAAAAAGCTCAACTTCGGAAAAAATACTATAAATTCACTATAGTAAATTTATTTTACCAACTCACCTCATTTAATGCATTAGCGAATGATAGCTATTGGTCAATCGGCGCTAAATCCTTGGAAACCACGCCTTTTATCACAGATTGACCAATAGCATGTGCTCTTCGCCTGTAGTAGTGATTTGGTAAAACGAGTGTACCTACTAGACTGGGCCAAAAAAATCAACATTTTTTTTTAAAGTATATCAAAAATATTGTTTGGGGTGAAAAAAAAATTATTGTGAAACTTTGAGTCCATAATATTAATATTAAGAGGTCTATCATCGCAATTTTAATTTTTTTTTCCTCGGCAAGTTTTTGTCTCAGAACTCCCAAACCATTGAGTTTAACAAAATTGACTTGAAAATATTTTTTTAAGAAAATTAAATGCTCTACAAAAAAGGTTAAAGTGAAATTTTCCATCAGATGAACCGTTACCTTAAAATCATGCCTTAAAAATTGGTATAGTTTTACATTTTGATCTGTTAAATTGAAATTTTGTAATTCATGTAAAAATCAGTACCCACAAAAAACCGATAAATATTCTCATGGGAAATCAAATGCCTTACAAAAAAAGCCTCTCAACATTTTTTGCTAAATTCACTCATTCAAAAGTTATTCAAGGTTAAAATTTGGTTTTGACTTCAAATTTAACCTTGAATAACTTTTGATGGAGTGAATTTAGCCAAAAATGATAAAAGACTTGTTTTGGATAATTTTTTTTTGTCACCCCAAACAATATTTTCGATATACTTTACAAAAAAAAATAGTCGATTTTTTTGGCCCAGTCTAGTATACCTACTATGGCAATAATGTCTTAAAAACCCCAAGCGAAATCGTGCCGGCGTTGCCGAATATCGATCAAAGGTCAAAGGACACGAAAAAAGTTTTTCTGGGTTACATTGTAAATAATTTACAATGTAACCCAGAAAAACTTTTATTATTATTATTATTATTATTCATTTTACGTAAATTTGGTGTATTATCAAAAATGTTCCTCATGTAAATCTGTATAAAAATGGTGCCATGCAAAATTTACGCAGGACTGGTTCTCGAAATATGAGGCTGACAAAAGTTGCAAAGGGAATACAATACTATATGTATACATATAGCGCATACTATACTGTACTATATATAGCGTATTCGCTTACATATTATAAAGGTCGTGAAAATCAGTTTTTCTCTATTATCTCGACTATGGGAGAGACGTAAATTTTTGTCATTATAAATTTGTGCCCCATGTAAATCGAGATATAAGACTGACAAATGTTAGAATGCATACATTTCCTTAAACTACCGTAAGCGTATTGTGAAGTATGCGTCTTAATCCAACTTTTCTTAGCCTTATATATCGAGAACTATCAGGCCTACGTACATTTTTTAAGGGACCATTTTTATCTAAATTTACATGAGAAACAATTTTATCATACACAAATTTACGTAAAGCAATAGTTTACAAAAAAAATCAAGAAAAACTGGTTAGTGTCGCGAACTTTATACTATAAAGTGTTTGTAAAGAAAATATGCGCCTTGCTTGAACCATTTTTAAGCAGATTTACCCTAGCAACAAATTTTATTACAAAAAAGGTAAAAAACCATTGGGTTTATCAGATGCTCGAAAAAAACTGTTTTTCGTGACCTTTGACTTTCGATTGTTGGCAACTCTGTCACGATTTCGCTTGGGAAAGGAAACAACTATCTAACCTAGAATTTTTCCCAAGTAAAACCCTAACTTGACTGGGGTATTTAAATATTCATTCTTAAGGAATTCTAAAACAAACATTTTCAAATTAAAAACCCCCGTATAACAAATTTTGTCCTGCGTCCAAATGCGTCCTGAAGTTACGAACCGTACTTAGGAAACCCCCTGTGAATGATGCAATACTTAATTCCACTTGTTTGATTTATTAATTAATTTATTTGACTTACAAGTCAAAAAAATTGCCAGAGGCCTTAGTCCGACCGAACCTGATTTTTTAGTCTTGGCCGAGACCGAAAACAAAATAAATTCTCGGCCGAGACCAAGACATGACAAAGTATAAAAGAATTCGGATAAATATACAAAAATGCACAATTCGTTAAAAAATTGTTTATTATTAAGTGGGTAACTTAAATTTGACATTGACAAGTTGTCAACGAGAACGAGATCTTGGCCAGATTTTTGTGCCGAGAATAGCCGCGGCAACTAAGGTACAACCGAGATCTCGGTTGGACCTTAGTTGGTCTACTTTCATTTGGGCAGGATTTTTTTGTCGCCCTGTGTTATTTATAAAAAAATAAACCCATGATGGCATTAAAAGCATATAATATTCATAAAATTGTTCATGTGACTAATTTGTGTTGTTTTATTTTTTAGGCCGCAGTGTATCGTAGTGGTTACAACCGCTTCACACCCTACTGAACATATCGGCAGCTCCGTAAGGCCTACAAAGAAGAGAATGAACAAAAAACAATACTCAAAACTACTATCGTTATTTGTCTTGTGTACGTAGCACAATACAGCACAAATAAGAGCCAAAGAGCTGTTAACTCACTAACATAAGCCCTTGTGATAGCCCATCTTTCTCTCTAACCCAGCTCTCTACTTACCGATTAGTTAAGTCTATTTATAGTTCAAGTAAGGTAAAACATTTAAATTAAAAGTTTCCATTCACTTATACCGTGGCAGTTTCGTTTAAAATTACGTTGAAAATGCAAACATGGCGATATTTGAATGGTTCCTTGATTTGTAGCGCTAGATTAGTGAGTTAATTTTAACGTAATTTTAAACGGAAGCTCTCTGTCGAGGGAATTAGCCAGTGGCGTCGGGAAAGTACGGGCTAAACGACCAAATAGTAAAATAGGCTATTGTTAATGGACAGTAAAAGTTTCGGAAGCTTATCGTACGAGCTTAATCAGTTAAGTAGCTTAGTTATCTCCGGACATTTTTCCACGCCCCTGGCTACTGACCAATGGACCACACAAGAATAGGGTTACTTAACTAACTAAAAAAAGCGCATAAATATTGTGAGATAGTTGATAGTTAATTCTTTTAACAAGTTTAGTGTTACGTACTCTCTTTCTCTCTTTTATTTTTACTTTTAAATATTAGTTGTATTTGTCGGTCTCTGAATTATTCGATACTATTCCGGTGATTTTATGGCCAATATTATTTAGCGGATTAACTAATTAAGAAAGCTTAATTTGTATATAATTTTGATTTTTTTTTATTTGAAAATCGATTATATTTTGATGTAAATTATTAAGTAAATGCACAATTAGACGATTAAGTTTCATTTTTTTTTATAAATTGTATATAACACATACTTGTTTTAAAACAGACATCACAAAAAGGCATTGACTATGGAATACTTAAGAGACTCGATGACTAAATGATAATGTAGCTTGTAATTCTTAGTTTTTAAGGTTTATAATTATTTGACTGGTAGGAGTTATATTATACGTATTACGTACGTTCTATGTAAAATAATCTCTATGTTTAGGTCTGATGATTAATTTATAAGATTGATATTATTATTATTTTTTCTATTAAGTATAAGTGCAATGGAAACGTGCAGTACATTTTCTTTCTATTTGAATTTGAGATGTTGAATCCATTCATGGTATATAGAACTTAAATATTAAATTGATCTCTGATTTCAAGGTAAGTTAATTATAAGGCATCCCATTTTTTTTAACCATTAAATATTAATAAGTATCAAATACATGTAGGTATTTCATGAGTGGATGAACAATAACAAGTTTTTCAGTGTTTTTGAGAGATAAAATCTGATAAACTTGTTATGCAACGAAGAACAAAAACGGGCAATTTGGTGGTGATTTTTTCTTCTTTAAATTTTTTTGTTACTTTTAAATAGATAGAGTACGGTACTGTAATTTTTCCTCGTGTTAATTGTATTTTTCATTTAGCGTATATTTTGATACACTTGTTTTATTAGGCGGTTAATATAATCCCGCATACATATCGACGATATTCTCTAATTAGCTCTCTAGATATGTACAGTTTCAATCAAATCCATTTTTTTATATTTGTGTATTTTTAGGATGTATTTTCATTCTTACTTGATGCTCTCTATTTTTTTTTTAATTTTATATACTAACTTTACAAACGGTAATACTCGAAGTAAATCTCTATTCACATGTATTTTTATACACGCACACAGAAAAAGACATTTTTTCGTTTAACACGGTGAAAATATATCCTATAATTTAAAGCCAATATGTCTAGTCTATGTAAATATCTCGACGTACAAACTCATTTTCTTTGAATAATTAACTAATTTTGTTTAGATATTTTTTAAGTTAACGGTATCATCGTCATTTTATTAACAAATCCTTTTCAATACCTTAAGGTTACATAGGTATATTTGAAACAAGTACGAAAGCACAAATACATACTGTACATTTTTATTTATTGTTTAATCTTTAACATTCTAATTTTACTAACAGTTTCCTTTTAAAAGTTATGTGTACGTGAAGTATAATAAATAAAAAGAAGTGATATAAGTAAACAGTTTATTTAATTTCTTGTCCTTCCCACTAAACTATTACAATAAAGTTTCTTAAAATGATAATACAAACAAACGAAATCCCTACTAATAAGGTTGACAGTAAATTTTTAATTAACTTAATCTATTTTTTAATTCATCTACAAGGGATCTCAATTCTCGAACCTGTCCTTCAAGAGATAATATTCTTAGATCCACATCCGGGGAATCTGAACAACCAGGGGTGGAAATTTCCACTATTTTATCAGCCAACAATGCAAGCTCGGTTAGCGACCTTTCCTCACAAACAGAAAGCACTTGTTTCACGTTTGCTGGCATCCTTTGAAGCCAAAAAGGACGAATCTGTTCTTCATCAAGACCACAATTCGCAACATTTTTCATTAAATCTAGCAGTTCCGATGGTTTTTCGTATTCATCGTTTATATTCATTAGATTCTTTTCGCAAAAGCGTCTTGTTAACTCGTGTTTGAGTTTTTTATACTTGTCGGGGCTCGGAGGCAATGCTATGACGTCCGCGACTTCTTGTAACACATCTGGAGATAATGCCTTGACGATCACTCGGTACATTGTATCCTTGCTTCTTATACCATCCGCGAGTAATTTGCTTTCAGTAGTTGCGAACCACCACCATGGATTAAAATCCCAAAATGGAGTTAGTTTGAGGTCACGCAAAGTTTCCATTGATACTTCATCTGAAGTTTGATATGATTCTGCAGGCATATTTAAAACAATATTGTAGAGTATACTCCAACAGACAGTTACAAAATTTGAGATGTTTAACGTTTGATGTTAAGCCTAGATTAAAACATTTGTTCGGTCGTGTCAAAATTTATAATAGTTTATTAGTACTTCCCAAACTTAGGTACGATTTTGTCAGCGACAGGTATGCTAATAATTGTATACCTTTACAGTTTGAGTACAAAAATTATACCTATATTTTGTATAATTTGCTGGTCTATTACCTATGTTAGAAGTAAATTTAACAATAGCTTAAAAAAATATTTTTTAGTCAATTTAGTATTTCAAGGAATTCTTAACTAGTGATTTTTTCAATCTGTCTTCCATCCACGTTTAATGTTTTTAAGGAAATTAAATAAATTAAGTTAAATCTAGTTGGAGGCAATTTTAAAACATACTTTTTTATTAATTTGTTATTTGCAATCTATTTACCTGGCAGTACCTTAAAACTAATGATTATTTAATAAAATTATTAAAAACATGTATATTATATTTGAAATCGTGAGATTAAAAACAGCTTTACTAGTACAAGTAAAGAGATAAAAAATTTATACAATCATTTCATATAATATATTAGTTTAAAATGCATTATTGTGATAAGATTTAATCTATTTTACACAATATACTAGGTAATTATATTTTGTAAAATAATGTTTTTCATTTCCAGACAACGCCCTGATAGCAAAATTTGATTTTAAGAATCTTCTAACAAGATATGACCCGGAATAATGGAATATTCTTAGAACCTTCCCTTATTGCTAAGAATGTTCTTAGGGACTTTTAAAACATTCAATATATTGAATGTTTTAAAAGTATAGATACCTTTTTAATGATGATGCAATTAGATTCTTAAAAGCTTCTTAAAACCTTCCTAAAAAGCATCCTAAGAACATTTTAAGTTTACCTTTTTGGAATGTTCTTAGAAGGTTTCTTATGGAGCTTCTAAGAAGCTTTTGAGAATATTTCCAAATATGTCAGATACCCACGTTCTAATATGTTGTATTCTACATTCGCAAAATTCTTTAGGAGACGACAAATACGCCTCACTGTCACAGTGAAATGTATTTGTCGACCCCTTAAAAAATTTTGCGACATATTAATATATCGTCACCCTAATATAACAAGGTTGTATGTTAAAAAACCGAAAAATTTGAGTTTATACTTCTACAAGGTTTTATGTAATCCACCCTTGACATACAACTTGAAAATAACTCTATATATATGTATACATAGAATATACATTCTATAGAATTATTTTTAAGTGGTATGTGAAGCGAAGGCCACGTATAATCCTGTAGAAACATAGACTTACATTTTTCGTTTTTTTTAACATACAACCTTGTAATATTAGGGTGACGATATATTTATTTAAAAATATTAAATAAACAATTTGACATCTAAACCATAAGTTGTATGACATTATTTCATAAAAAGTAAAATTGGAAAAGTTTGTGGGATAAGTCAGATTAGATTAAAGTTGAAGATAATTTATGTAATATAAAACATTGAAAAGAAAAAAAATACAAAAATCATTTTTTTCTATAATCAATATATTTTTGAGCAGAATCTAATATTTAATATTTTTATATCAAACATGTCAAACAGAGATAAAGAAGGTTGTCAAATAAACAAAATTACTTCTAAATTTAGCTTACTGTACAGCGTTGGCAGTGTTGCAATTTTTTTTTACAAGTTGCCAAACTGGCGTCAGAATTACCAACAAAGAGTCTCCAAGATTAGGGCATGTAGATTAATATTTATATCTACTAGCTTTATCCAATATGAACGAGATTTTATAAAACCTGATTGGTAAAAATAACATTCGCGCAATTTTTTAAAAACTGAGTGGGTATAAAAACAAATTAAGTAAATAGAAACTGTTAAAAGCAGTAAATAAAGAAGGTCTTTATAAAAAATTATCTAAACTCGCCCATATTGTCGCCAATTTTAAATTTTTAGACCGATTGGCAGTTCTCAAATCGCCCAACCTGGCAACGTTGCGCTGCTTCCTCACCGCACAAAACAGATGCCTTCTTTATCAGAGACTCTGGATGCTCCACCGTGTTTGCCATTTTGTGATCCTTCTTTATCTCTGTTTGTGATTTTTGATAAAAGACCGGTCACCGGTTCGTAGTTCTGTGCTTTTTAGTGCTAATGAATAATAAAAATGTATACATATACCTATAGGTAAGTACCACCCTAATTTATGAATAAGTAATATATATAACATGCATATATGTAATGTTTGCGACCAACTTTACAATTTTTATAGGTGGACTTCTTATATAATACTGGAGGGGAGAAACCCTATGAAGCAGTAAAAAGATGCCTCACAATAACTTTGAAGGAAAGAGAAATAAGAAGAAAAGTTTTTAAAATTTAAGTATTTAACAGGCTGTAATCAGTAAAGCCTGGTTCTAACAGAAAAGTAATTTAATTTAAGATGTAATTTAATTTAACTTAAAAGTTAAAAACCCAACAATCCTTTGTAACGTTCATACAGTGATGTAATTTAAAACTTAATTTAATAGTTGGCCAACTTTTATCTCTTAAATTAAATTACGTTATTTCAAGGTTATTTCGTATTATCTAACCTATTTTGGGAGAATCTAACCTATTTTGTGTAAACGGTTTTAATAATAAGACAAATATTTCGATTGTAATTACCAAAGTAAGCCATATATATCTAAAACTTTAAGTTTTAGATACATTAAGTAAGCACTCTCTTTAAAATATTGTTTTAATTTCAAACACTATTAAATTACGTTACTTTTTGTATGAACGCAAGTAAATTAAATTAAATTACTTTTAAAGTTAAATTAAGTTATATTACGTTATTTCTCTGTTAGAACCCAGCTTAAGTTTATCAATTTGTATGTATTTTTTCACCAAAATAATATGATTCCAGCTGCAGTAAAAAAGCTGCTAAATGTTGAAATGGCGATAAAATCATGGCTCAAACATTGCAAAGGCCGAATTGGAAATAAAGTTCAAAGAAGGTCAAAAAGTGCAAATTTATAAGTACAATAATTTATTTTATAGTTTTTATCAGTTTTTTTTTTTTAATTTTTATCAGTTATCTACTTTTTCACAAAAATAAAGTTATTTTTACATATTTTATGGGTTTTATTTAAACATCCACATAAGGGCCAATTACATTCATATAAGGTCAATTTTGACCCTCAGTGGGACGGTCTCTGGACATACAAAAGTGCACCATTTGGAAGTCCATGGACGTCCTATGGAGGTCCATGGGAAATTGTAGGACAGCCCTGGGAGGTCCAGAGCATCCAAGGATGACATCCGTAGGACGTCCTTGGGACATCCATGTGCTGACTGGGATGATGCTATGGAAGGTATGTACAACGTATTTTATTACTTTTACCTATGGTAAACTAAGTTTTGTTATAAAATTAATATTTAATAAATATGAAATAATATTGTTTTTAACATTAAAATATACATTTTTTGGAGTATTTAAAATACTTCCGGGTGCGTCCCGGTTTTTATATACAAAAACAAAGAAAGAATTTAACTAAATATTGGTGAAAAAATTTGTTCCAGATTTGTCCAGATTACTGTGTTAAGCTGTTTTTAAGATATATGCACGTACAATTTAAACCACTACCGTTAAGGGAGGATTTAATTACTCAATGTTTATTCTTATCTCAGAAACTACTGAAATTACAAAAAAATTGTAGGGACAAAAAGTCATAAAATCAATTTTTATTGTATACATATATTATATTTTTACTTATACAGGGTGTTCGGTTTTTACTTATTTTTAATAAACACCCTGATTTTTTTTATTTTTTGGATTCTACTTACTTTTGTATGTAAATTTGGTTAATTTACATATGTAACAAGAAAAAATATAATAACTTCTGAGTAAACTAATTCTTTTTTTTTAAATAACCAACTAATTTTAATCTTACATAATATGTTATATAGTATCAACCTCTTTTTAATGAACTAATCTACAAATTTGTATGTTTAAGTTTATTTTACAAAATATTATACAGAGTTCAAAAAATAAAGTCTGTATTTTGTATTGCAACACCCTTTAAATTTTTACATAAATTAGGTACATTAAATAAATCAAAAAATAATTTTGGCCAACTTTATAGTACTAATACCTCTATGTGCGGCGC